ATGTGATAAAATAATACAGTACTAAATATTAAAGATCCCATCTCTTATAGGTGTGTTGCATCAGGTAATCTAACCTATAATGAGTGTGAACCCCCACACAGATGTGAAGAAACAACATTAAATGGTCAGTATGTTCACATGTTGCTCAAAGAATAAATGTAAACAAGTTACCCCCCAATTCAACCGCATCTGGAACGGCGGCAATTTTCGCCGTCCGCCAATACATTACATGGTGGATTATGGACAGCAGCAAAGACCCCTGGGTAAAGAGTAGAGTAGTCGCAAAGTCGGACGCATCATGAAAGGGAGGAGCCAGGGGTGGAAGCAGGTGACAAACTGGTTTAAAGAGGAAGTAGGGAGAGTATGGCGGGTAAAAAGCCTGCCTGAAGTAACACACCGAATTCACAAAGACTTTTCCTCCTATTGCGTGAGCTAACAAGCCACCACCCTCTAAAAACTTAAGAGTGTTTAATATTTTATTTTAAAAATCTACCACTATGAAGTCCTCGTGTGAAAGGTATTCCATGAAAAGACCAGGACCTTGATTTCCTGAAATCTAATCCACATTTTCATAAGTCTGCGTCTGTTTCTAAACACTGAATATCTCAGAAACCCTTCGACAGGTGGAAGCAGACGGATTTGAATCCTTCTGACAGTTCATCTTCTGTTTCTGGAGAATCAACACATCTGCATGCAAGAGTGAGCAATGGCTTTATGTATGTAGATGAGGATTATCGCTGCAATTATAATCGGAGAAACGAGAATCTGGCTGTGACTATCACACATTTTATTGTTTGAAGGAAAGCCGGGTGTTACAACCAATTTGGTATTCATATTGTGTGCATCTTAGCTGTATTTAAATGTAGTAAAAGGAGTTTACAAGAGGTCATGAACAGAGCGATTAGTTAAAAAATGAATGAAGAAGCAAGTCAAACCATGAGAAAGAGACACTTTTGTCACCTTGAAGACAGCAGAATAAATACTCTGGGTTACAGGGAGCAGATAATAGAAAGCAAGTAAATGCAAAAGTATGTTTTTTGTCCACAGGGGGCGCCAAACGCAACACAAAATTTAATCAGTGTTACTGCTTTCACCTACATCTAAAGAAAACTTTTCTGAGCCTAAAAGAGTTTTTTAATCATAACAGATGTCGAAAATGTGACGACAAATGACAGATTTAACCATTTAGTTCTCATATGTTAGCCATTTTAAATGCTAAAACAACTGAAATAATAATTAAGAATCCAAGACAGACATACTGAAATTTGACGTATTGAAATTAGAAATGTTGGTGATGTTGTTTGAGTGAAGTGGCGCTAGCTGGTTAGCCTGGTAGTGAGTTAAAAGTCCACGATACCTGAACTGGAATATCTTGTAAAACTCCTCATGGTCATCAATCGTTTCTAGCTACTTGGCCGACAGATCTGGTGGCAGTTTCTGTTCAACTCCTCTACTGTTCAGTTTTCCCACTTATTCACAAAGTTGTCCTCTGTTTCTAAAATCCGTTACACTTGAAGGTTCACATTTGCTATTTTTTAATCAGGATTCACGAAAAAAAAAACATGATTTGGAAATAGAGTCGTAAGAAAATCAAGATGGAGCATTACGAGCTGAAAGTCAAATTGTAATAAAGAATAAAGACGCGGTAAAGTCATTATGTGAAGGGAATAAAATCTTCGTAAAATGAGATTTTAGACATTTAGTTATGAGAATAAAGTCGTCATGAATGAGGTGCATGAAAAATCTCAATGAATTGTACTTAAAAATTAGCAAAAAGCAGAAACTTGTAGTATCCCCCTTTAAAACAGCATTTTGTGGCTCACCTGTGACGGCATTAACAACTTAATTTTTGTAACATCATGACTTTGATCTCGTAACCAAACGGCTCCGATAAACAACTTTTTTCCTTGTTATAAAATGACGTTACTGCACCACAACACCACTTAAGGCTCAAAGTCTCCAAAGAAATCTTTAATTCCTAAATTATTATCAGAATATCACTATCATAAAATCATGTTTTAGACTTTAAACTCTAACTTACAGAGCTGGTGTAACAGGACTCAGACTCACAATCAGCCCAGTTATCCTTCAGATTTTACCCCGTTTTACATTTTAAACTGTACTTTTCTTTCTACTCTCAATGACTCAATCTGAAAATCTCAACCATTCCTTGTTATTATTTTTGTTTTTTTCTTCTATCCATTAAGTTGAACATCGCCGCTCTCTCCTCCAGTCCTGATGTTAATGTTCTGCATTAACATCAGGATTAACATCAGGAATCTAATGGATCGTCCCGTTTAATGCCGGTCTTAATTTTGCACAGACGTGCCAGCACAGAAGTGGACTCTATTATCGGTACTTTAGGTTGTTTATTTTCCCATGACCTGGCAGAGCGCGGAGTTCATTTAAAAGTAAACAGCCGTCTGTCTGACTGAGAGTAGTTTCGAACGCACTCTGCAGAAAAAAAAAATGTATCTCCAAATTGGATTAAATGTAGAGTGGATTAAAACGTAAAATGTTTCTATGCATCAAATAATTCTCCCTGACATGACATATTACGAATGTGGCTCCCATAATGCACTGTGCATAAAAGCAGGACTCCTCTGTCTCTTTACAAGGTGAAAGCACTAAACAAAAATGCAAATTAGATTCAGAGTTCCAAAGAACGGATAAAAGAGGCAATTTGCTCCATTAATTTGTGATACTTTAGAGAATATTACTAATCATAGTGTTTCAGGAGAGGCTTAAAAACAGAAGAATATTTTATCATGTCAACAAAATTAATGGAAAATCACTGAAGATTTCCATGTGACCTCTGCTCTGGTCTCTTCTCACTCTGCGTCTTCATTTTCTGTGTAGAAGTGTAATTAACAGAGATAATGCGGCGCGGTGATGTCTGCAGGTTTGAGATCTTTGGAGCCACATTGTCATACTCGTTCACTGAGGAATTTAATGAGGATTACACCTGACAATACCTGCGTGATTTATTCCTGGATTTTACTTCGACTGCACAGCCTGGTGAAGACTTGAAGCGCCAACATTTGCAGCTCAAATCTTTACTTTTATGATTGTGTTCGGTGAAAAAATATTCATACCCGCTAACGTCACCGTCGCTCTTAAGGGGGCAGGAGGAGTAAGAAACGGAGCACTCGTAATGCAGAGTGGATTTACAACCGAGGGTCACTGAGGTTATTTGGATTTTTTTTGTGATTTCCTTTTAGAGTACACCACTCGAAAAACAAACAAACAATGTGCCCAACGGTGGCCTACAAAACTTCTGTCGGATAAATGTCGTGCGGGTTCGGTTGTGTCCTTGAGGATGGAGTGGAATTACCTGGAAGCACAAAATGAGAACACTGAAGTGAAGTAGAAGATTTAATGTAATTATGACATGGATTCGGGAAACGTTCGTGCATGAATATTGATAAACAGTCGGCTCCATCCCCCCTTTTCTTTTCTTTTGTAACCAAAAACACACTTAACTAACCAGAAATACATCAGAGATGTCTTAAGACTCTTTTTTTCAATTGCTCAGTTTTGTACTCTGCCTCAAGTGGCCACTCGAGTAACTGCAGCTTTTGGGGCTTTCAAATTTCCTCCTGCATAAGATCTGTGCACTCTCTACCTGGTTCGCTCTGTCGGCCCCAGATTGTCTAGAAGAATCGAACTTCTTTAAAGACAGTGTGCGTCTTTTGAGATCATAGCTAACTGTACCCGGGTCTGTTTGAGTCTGGAGTGGAGGCGACGCGAATATAGAACACGAAATTACGAAATATTCGGAGGCGAATTTTGACACGCCTGACTATACACATCAAGCCCGACACAATTTTGCGATTTTCCAGGGGGGAAAAGTCGCATCCCGGGGAAGACTTTTCCTGGGGAAAGTCACGCCTCCTTCGCCTCTGATTGGCTAGAAAAGCTGGAAACGTCATCACACACTCAAGCCAAACGGTCAGCACTTACAGCCAATCAGAGGCGAAGAAGGGCGGGACCTTCCCTTACCATCCTACAGCGTCCCGGGTGGAAGCGAGAGGACAAAAATGGAGTCTACTTCAACTTGAAATGATGGCGGATTGGTACTTCTTTTGCTTTCTCAAAAGAAAAAGAAACGTAGAGGAGAAGAAGAGAACTTGGTGAGTTTCACTGCTTGGTTGAGGAGCTGAAACTGTACCACGGTCGCTTCAGAACCGATTTTCAGATGTCCATTGGACAATTTGAAGTTCTGCTGAAACAATTAGCTCCAAGTTTGAAGAGGAAGAGAACTAGACACTGTTGAGATGTCTGTCTGTCATGATAGCTTGTACTGAGTCGGGGCCAGTACCAGATAAGAACATGAAACTATGGTAACAACCGTTAGCTTACGTTAGCGCAGATGAAAGTTAAAACAAAGACGTTTAGCAAACTGTTAAAGCACTCAAACCATCGTCATATGAGAAATCCAACGCTATGACTCTCCACAAGTTGTCCTTCAGGTCGTTATCCTTGTAATATTTGTGTAAACGATCATAAACAATCAGCCGGTCGGCCATGTTGGATATACCGGTGAATGTGACATCGCAACACGAATTCTGATTGGTCAGACGTGGACACACAGTATGCAAAACTTTGGAAAAATCGACCATGATACGAAAAGATAAATGCCGGGTTCGAAAGAAAATATTGACAGCCGAAATAATCGCCTGACAAAAACTTTCAGGGTGTGAAAGGACCTTATGGGGGACGATAATGCTGCTGCTGCAGAGTAGAGGGCAACTGAGCCTGGTTCGAGTGAACCCTGTGTTCCCAATAAAATGCTGGTAATTGTAAAATAATCCTCTTAAGAGTCTTTCTAAGGAAAATCAAGCTTGAATTTAAATCGCTTCACTCTTACAGCGAAACACGGCAGCTAATCTATGACTGATTCGTTGCTATTTGTCTCATAAATAAGACATTATGGAGGTAGAAATCAAATCTGAGCGGCAGTAATTGAGCATTTTCTCGCAGTGAATTGCATCTATACAAGAGGAGTGCGTCCATCAGTTTTGACTAATTCCTTTCACACACTACTGCGTGCAGACAGCGGGGACAGGTAGGGTCAGGGGTCCTGCCTGAGGACACTTTTCTGACTTTCTGATTGGTAGGCGACCAACTCCACTAACAGATTCACAGTCATGCATGCATACATACATATGTACATAAATACATACAAACATGCATGAATACATACATATATGCAGTCATACATGCATGCATAAGAACATCCATACATAAATGCATACATACATACTAATACATACACTTATTTACCTGACAAATATGTGATGATGGTTATTTAAATGCTGCTCTTTATTTCTAATTTTAGGTTATTCAAAATACTTGAAGGTTTAGTGAAGTTTTGAGGAATTTATCGCGTACGACAAGATTTATAGTGCGAGTCATTTATCAAAATTAAAGCACCGACAGGAGAAACTGTGATAAGGAACTTTTCTCACTAAAAAAAAGTTTCACTCGTCGGAGAAAAGAGGAAAAGACACCTTGGCTCCGAAGCAGGAGTCAGTTTGTTCGATTTCAGAATAAGCAGTAGGTGAAGGGATCAGTCTGAATGGGTGAAATTTAATTTTAACTTTGCAGAAAACCTTTTGACGAACCTTCAGATTGAGAGATATACTCGCCGCTGTGTAACATTCGAACATCATCTGACTGACCTTGTTTTTAGGATATGAGTTACAGCGCCATCTCTTCAAAAAGGGTTAGAAATAACCTCATCCTGGGAAATCCAGCCTCCGTCTTTGTGACATATGTCTTTATCTTTTTCATTCATGCATTTGTAAACCCGGCGGTGTGATCTATCTGTGCAGCTCTTTGAACTGACGGCACGGCTGACTCGATGAAAAGACTCGCAGTATGATGAAAATCGATGAATATTTCAATTGGTGTTTACATGCTTTGGAGATAGACGTGGCTTTTTAAAGAAATCAATTCGGAGTCAAGGTTTTGGAGGGAATAGAGAGTTCACAACCCCCGCAAAACTAACTGTAACTGTCTGCTGCAGCTCCATCACGGCGCAGGTGTGACACCACGCTGGTAAAGGCGCGTCGAGTTGTTTCTGACACTCGTTATCAGAACGCTGCGCGGCCTAATCAGCTCTCACCGCTGATGTGGGGAGTGGCTGTTAACCTCATTTGCTTTCACCGAGCTTCACTGTCTCTGTCTGCGTGTCTTCAAGTGGGATGTTTGCAAAGTCTTTGAAGAAAGACAACCTAGATTTTCTTATTTCCCAGTGATTTCTGGAAGAAGGAGAAGCGAAGGGGTGCTGCGGTTTCCAGGCATACAACATGACGCTGCAGAGAGAAGATGAGTGGAGAAAAAAGGGATCCTCTTTAATTTGATTTATGGACTTCCTGCCAGAGTAGAAACACAAAATTCCTGATGGAGCGACTCCTTTATTCTTATTTCAGATTAAACTGCCGAATAAACACGGCTGGTTACCCAGCAGGTAGAATCAGCTTCTACCCCGAGGCCTCAGACCCCCAGAACACCACAGATCTTCGGTTCATGGCATGTCCTTGGTTATTTGATTAAAAATTTAGCGCTTCAGGAGAGCTGGTGGGTGTAATTTTGAACTTTTCAAGGGGGCCAAGGGAGGCATTTACCCCAGCTGCCAATCTTAATGCTAAGCTAGGCTAATCAACTCCTGGACCTTGCTTCATAATTAATGAATGAACCCCAAGAGTGGTACGGAGCTTCTTGTGAAAATCCTGGCAAAAAGGCAAAAAACTGTTTCTCACATACTGTGAAAATTTTTAAAAAGGAAATTATTTCCAGACAATATTAAAACAATATCTTAACTCTGAAATAAAATTCTGTGAGTTGTCTGCCACTTTATTCATCTCGATCCCATTTTTTTTTCTTACCAAATGTGGCTCTAACACTTCGCTATGGTTCAAATTTGGCGTGGCATAAAGTCAAATATATTCTGCATTCGTTCGTGGATGTCAAATAAACCAATAAAAGAAAAAGTTATGAATAATTTGGAGGTGAAAAGTAGGGGTGGGTGTTACTTTAGCTAACTCAAGGCTCATTTATGCTCAACGTTACAGACGGGTCCGAGACAGTACCAAACTAGCCGGGGACGTCATGTGACGACATCCATCCTTTAGATAGTATGTGACCATATACGGTGTAGGTACTAGATGTGTTTGGGCTGCCAGATCGGCTTGGGGTTGGTTCGGATGACGTAGAAGATTGTGATTGTGGACCTTTAGGGAAGTGATTCTCACTGGATTAGGTTTCATGGGATTGTAGTTCTTCGGAGAAAACATGGACGAAATTTACGAAGCAATCTAATCGCCTCTTTTAGGTCACTGAAGGAAATGTGGAATAAAAGCAAAACTATCTTTTGATAAACGGAGATCCTGCGTATATATTTTTTTATTTTTCCTTTTGAAAAGTTAACCTATACAATTAAAGCCATCTCAAAATTACAGAACAGTAAGTTGTAATTCTCTTTATCATATGGAGAGAAAAATTTGAGGTCGATTGAATGAACAAACGGAAATAAAGAAAACTGTGAGGGGCTTTTAACCGAGCGCATTTGACTATCAAATGGAGCGCAATGTAGTTTGTCTGAGTGGACTTACCGTAGTGTGACGCCTTCATCTGGTACTTACAGCTGTATTTTACTTCTAATCTTATTTTAAATGAAGTTGGTTTGCATAATTTTTCAAAAGTTTAACTCACAGATAGATAAAAAGTCATCAATAGCCAAAAATAGTCAAAGCTGGCTCCTCTAACCCTCTTCTTTGAACTAATCAGAAACTCACGTCTGTTTACATCCATCCTTTCTAAAAATGTCAAACTTTAAGTGCTTCTTTTGCCATCTTTTAATACACATTATCAACACTGAAAGGAGCTCCTTTTGGATGTGCCATCAAGGCAGGCGACGCCAAGAAAAAAGAAGTCATTTTTTCCGTCTCTTTTGCATTTTTGGGTGCGAATCTCACTTCAAAGTCGGCATCATATCAAAGCTCGACAGCTGAAGATAAGCAATGCATGGAAAAATCAAACCAAACTAGACGTGTGATATCTCAATCTTCAGACTCCAAAATCACCGCCTGTTTTACAAGCACCAAACTGCCAAGATCGGGATGCAATCCTGTCTAAGCCCGTTACATAAAGAGCAGCAGCAGCAGCAGCAGGAGAGACTCAGGTAGAGGAGCAGGAAATAGAAAGAAAGCCAGGAAGAGAAGGTGTGTGGGTGTTTCTGAGAACTTAAAGGTTCTTATGTTTAATAATGAAGCTTGAAGCTATATGATAATTATAACTTTATACTTCATTAATCTCACAGTAACACCCTCAGTGCTGTTAACTCCATCGGCGCCGTTATTCATAAACTGACCTCTTTCCAAAATTCTTCAGAAGTTTTACTTTGCGGTGCTTTTCTGGGGAGTAAATCAGCCCCCTGAGTCCCCTCACTTCATTTAATGAAGCTGGAATCATATTAAAATCTCACACTGGCTCATTTTTAAGCCCACAAAGAGCTTTTACTTCACTTTAGCAGCCTCAGCCCACAGCATTACACATGAGAAATGTTGTTCTTTCCAAACAGGACCAACATTTCAGGCTTTGTTTTTAGTCTAACCGGCCAGATAGTTTGCAACAGTGATGAATAAAGAAACCCGCTCTTTACTTGTCCGTGCTACATTATTCATTATTCAAAAGTTCAGGGTATTAGCTATTTTCTTCCAGATTTCTAAAATAATGACTTAAACTGTAAAGAATTGCAGCATAAAAATGTCCTCAAGGCGTAAACAGCGATCTAACACCCAAAACTGATGAGCCTCTCATCTATTTTCTTTCATTAAGTTGTCGAGATCACCCTCTTGTTGAATCTGAATGCACGGAGCCATTCAATCATATTTACAACAGAACAGGAAATAAATCATCAAACTCTGCCCCTGACCCTCTCTGAAATGTAGTTAAAGACAGCATGAGACGATTAAACTTAAAAGACGTCACCAAATTTCAGTCACACAAGCTCCATTCACACCACAGACGGTCTAAAACATCGACGTAGTCTCTGTGACGTCGCCCATTTGAGATTTTAAGCCTATTGGCAGCAGCTGCCATGTTGGAAATGCTTAACCTGATTTGACCCAGCAGGAGGCCAAGAGGTGGACCTGCAGCTTTTAGCAGCTCTGGTTTGGTCCAGAACAGTCCAGAACGCAATCATCTCAATTTTAGCTCAATTTTAACAGACCATCGCACTTTTTTAGGTAACAAATATACTGATCTGACCCTAAACCACGATGACTGAGGAAGAGGAGGAGGAGGAGACATCACACTGATATAGATCTCTACATCTTTGAACCTTTATGAATTATAATTATTTTCTCTGCATCAGGTCAAATACCTATCAGGAGGTCATAAACATAATTTATGTAGATGTCTCATAGACTGACGCTACCTATTGGAGTTCATGTATCAGTGCGGCCGCCATCTTGGATAGGTCCACCGTGAGCCCCCAATGGTGAGCGCCCAACTAAATCAATCATAACTCCCTGAATTTTTACCCGATTTTCACACAGTTCGGTTTGTTACAAACGGCAGAGATGTAGCCATAATTCAGGTTGCTGTCACACATTAAAAACAACCAAAAATGTTTTTCAATTTTACCCGTGAAAGTAAAATACAGGCATAGTTGCTTGTTCTCCGTTGACTCCGTTTCATTCTAGTGCTAGCCTCGACTCAAGAGACCCATGCAATATGGCGGCGATGTTGAATTACGCTTCAGCGTGTATTGAGGCGACTACGTATATTAGGTCTATGTTAGGAGTAGGGACGCACCAATCTGGTATTTGGATTGGATATAGGCTCCAATATTGACGAATTAACTTAATTTAAATTTATTTTTCTTTTAATTAATATCAAACGCAGCGACTGTTCGCTCTTACTTCTAAAGCCGCGTTCAGACCAAACGCGACCAGGTCGCGTCGCGTTGGTCGCTCAGGTCGCTCAGGTCGCGTCGCGTGGTGCTCTGGTGTGTTCACACCGGGTCCAAAGTTGCAGTTGCAGGTCGCGGCTGGTCGCCGGTGACGTCATCCATGTCACTAGCTCAGTTTTCAGTTCATCAGTGCTGCTGCATATCTGTACATCCGCAGTAGACGCCGCCGGCGTTTATGGGTGCATGAAACCATCCGGAGGAGGACGGAGCTGGGTGAATTTCACCGCTTGCTCCAGGAACCCCGCCTGGACGACGGCCGCTTCCAGCGGTATTTCCGTGTGTCGACGGCGCAGTTCGAGGACCTCCTCGCCCAGGTGGGAAGCAGCATCTCCCGCCTGGACACGAAATACAGGCGCTCCATCTCAGCTTCGGAGCGCCTGTCTATCTGTCTGTCCCTCATATAAACGTCTCTAAGCCCCTTCCACCGCTTGCGGCACACATCCACTGCAAAGACACACACACATACGTTGAAACATGTAGCCTAGCAAGCAGGGGCAGTTAGCTATGTTTTCATAAAACAGTCCGCTCACTGAAATAAATAAACAAACAAGCTTGCCAGAAAGCCCGACATCACGGGCCACCTTCCCCCATGCTTCTTCTTTGGCGTTGCGGTCCCGGTACAGCCTGCAACCCACGTCGTATAGCACCGGGTGGTAGCTAACGGATGTGATTAACTGTTCCTCCATTGTGATTCTTCTTCTCCTCTTCCTTGTTTCGCCGGTTTGTTGACGTCAGCAGAGCCCTGATTGGCTGTCGCGGCACGAAGTCGCTCCCAAAGTTCAAATATTTGAACTTTGGGAGCGACGCGACTTGGCGTCCTGCGACCTCGGCGACGCGACCTCGGCGACGCGACCTCGGGGACGCGACCTCGGGGACGCGCCTTGGCGACCGGTCGCTAGGTCGCGTCAGGTCGCGTCGCAGGCAGCCGGCGGTCGCCAAGTCGCGTCAGGTCGCGGCTGGCCATAGACTTTGCATTGGGAGCCGTCGCCAAGTCGCATCAGGTCGCGGCTGGTCTGAACGCACCATAAGTCTTACTTCTTTTTGCTGTGTGCTAATGTTCAACTTGTTTTTTGTCAATAAATAATATTAAGTAAGTTTATATCCGTGTTAATTTGTTACCTTTCTTTTTTAACAAGGCTAATGTCAAGCCTGATCCCTTCACTCACAGGGCGAGGTATACAGTTCATTCATTCAACAGTAGTATTGGATCGGTATCGGATATCAGCCGATACGCTCAGCCCACGTATCGGTGTATCTCTAGTGATCGGTGCATCTCTAGTCAGGAGGTTATAAACAGTTTCCACAGAGATGGTCACAAAAGGAGAAGGAGATTTCAAAACATGAACTATTTCCTTTAGCTGATGTTTTATAGTAATTAACAAAGTTTATCTGCAGTCGACTCAAGACAACAAAAGTTCTCCTTAACAGAGTTGTGTGAAACTTCTTTAACTTCAGAATAAAAGCATTAAGTGGACTGAAGGTGGGTCTCCACAGTTGTTAAATTAAATCCCCAAATTAAAGCCATAACTGTAACTCAACCATACTCGACTGTACTGAAACACTTCAACGGTTAAATTAATCAAATTTAAGATTAACGGGCAAGTTTGGTCACTTTTTTTTTTATGTTAGGATCTTGCAGTTTCATTAAAATACATCCTACAGTAGAAAACATAAATCTGTGTAGTTACGGCTGGTTCTTAAGGATCTGAACTCACCATCAGGTAATAATTTACTCCTTTGTTTTTGCCCTCAGCTTTATTATTGTCTCTTTTTATATATATTCTTTCTCCTGGTATTAAATAAAAGCCTCTCTATATTCAATCTATTAAGCTCCCAGAAAACCACTTTTTCTAAATCAGCTTCCTAATACGAGCAAAGAGGTCTGACATTAACGCATAATTCTCCGCCGAGGTTTTTTCAGGGGGGTTTTCACACAAGACGCTCCGGTCTTTGATGTTCTGTGTGAACTCACTTTCTCCTCCGGTTTGAAAAAAGGTGATGAAATGTATCACCCCAGAGAAATCACCGCCATGTAATAATTTAATAAAATGGAAACGGGTTAAAAAATAAGACTTATAGGAGTTGTGGGAGTCTTCGAGGAGAGGTTGTATGAATGTAATACCTTCATGCTATGCTGACCAGCAGACAGTAACAGCGGCTGGAGTGCTGCCGTGGAGGGAAGTGAATCACTGCATATTTTAGCAGCCCATCTAAAAACAGCCAATACCATCTAAGAGTACACTATACTGAAACTATGTCTTCTGTTTTAGCTCGCTGTTATATGGACAGACGTGATCTTTGTCCATGTTGTTACGCATATCATGCTTCTGTTTGGGTCAGTGGTCATCTCAGATAGACGCCATGCTGACTGCCATCTTCTGCAGGTCATCCACTGACCGTTAAGGAATACTGCACCCTCTGATCCATCCCTTCAAAGGTAATTTATCACTACAAAGCTGAAATATATTACTTTTTTTAATCTGACTAAAACAACACAAGAACTTCTTGAAGTTGGATAAACAAACTGCATTCTCCACAGTTTGTTACCTGGAAGTTGATCAGCATGATTGCGTTGCTAGGAAACCAGTAGACAAGACATAGCCTGTTGTATCGACATACAAACGGTGCAAAATCCAATTACAGACTGCTAACATGAGTGCCAAAAAACAAAAACTTGTTCTGGGGCGTCCTCTCACTTTGTCAAGGAACTATTTTGCAGAACCACCCACTCACCCCCAATTTCCACGAAAAAGAACGGCTATGAAAAGGCTGTATCCGCCTATTGTAACCATTCAAGTTAATGTGTCAATTTCCACCGGCTTCTTTCCGTTCTGCTGTGGATCGCAAGAGTTCTATATTTCCCAGACGCCGGACCATGCCGGATAAATTCAGCACAGAAACAAAATAAAACACCCGGCTTCTTTTCAAAATAAAATACTCCGTGTTTCAGGCGGATCGTATTTCACACCATGCAAATGAGCGGGGAAGAACAAGGTATGTAGACAGCATTTCACCCCGATGACACCACGGATAAGAAGATGCTGATTTTAGAAGTCTAGAGGTGGATTTCCTACAGAGATGACTTGTTATCTCGCGATTGCACGTGAATCTGCGGGTTCTTGTAACTTCTCGCGATTCCTGCTGTCCGTAATCCGCAGCGAAATTCGCCTCACAAACAGATCCGGTAGGAATTGGCGAATGACGAAAATCATCGCCGTTCCAAATGTGGTGAAAATTGGGGATCACTATACATTGTCAACTCCGGGGATGCCCTGCTAGCAATCATAACCCGTTAAAATTAGGGCTGCAGTTGGTTCTTTAAACTCTGAAACACTCTTGAGAACAAGATAAAAATGTTCTCGAGTGTCCTGTTCAAGTTCCTCAACATGTTTTATTCACAGTAAATAACAATGAGCAAAAATAAAAAAAAGTAACACATCCATGAAGTGTATATGTGTGGCTCAGAGATGCTTTGTTTTTTGTTGTCAGCCACTGAGCCCCATCCAATTAAACCACTTTTTTGGGTAAGGCTTGACTTAATTACGCCGCGGCATTATGTCTTCCCCAGAACAGATCGAGTGGCCCGTTTGTGAGCAGTCAAAAGACGATTTATTGGCAGGATGACATCTGCTTACTGGCACACATCAAAGTTACATTTGGCAGTTGGAGCTGAGTGATGCATTGAAACCAGAACTGAAGTGAAAGCACAGCACAGCACCTACCGAGGTGTTAATAGAAGAGACTCAGCAGCAGGATCAAGGTGAACAACTCCCACAGACATCACAGTGTCAGGCGTTATAATGGAACTCGCAGAGCACATGAATGAGGATTTATAATGGAATTCAGCAACACGGATGAATGCAGCGCGATGATTTGATGAACCTTTTATTGCCCAGTCACTTCCAGAAAATGATTTAGTTTGCACTTAAATTTGTTGTTAACCAATTAGATGAAAAACTGACAAGTCATATTTCATCCTTGTTTTCTCCGTTTCTTTCTTTCTTTCCACATAATTAAGGTATGTCTACGCCGCAAAGAAAGAGAAGATGAATGCTACAGAAATCACAGAATAACAGCACAAAGACATTATGAAGAATGGCCACAGTAAACCGTCTTTTGTGCCGTTATTGGCTGCTGCCGGCCCATAAATTGAGGCTAATTGGGCGACAGTAGAGCTGAGTCGGTGCAACACTAATGTGACTGAAGGATCATTGGTTTAAATCTGTACTTGGGGGAAAATCCCGCCCGGAGTGAATGTGCGGCATTCATCCTTCCGTGGTAAATGCCATTACAGCAACATTGTGCAACACACAAGACTCGAGATCGGCCTGCCAGACCTGGCACCGGCGGTCATAAGCTCAGCATATGTAACTGGACTGGACCACCCAGAAAGTGGTGCGCTGTGGTCCGTGTGATTAAAAATATCCCCCTTTCTTACCGGAGGGGCTGAAATTATGACTCCAGCACTTTATTAGTAAGACGACTCAGGCTGGATGCCAATTCTACCTCTTGGCTCTATGCCTGGTTCTGGAAACCCCCCTATATGTTACGCAATAGTTTTAAGCTTTGTACTGAGGACACAGGAGCTTGACGTCACAAGTAATTAGGCTTATTTTTCCACATTTGTAATGATGACATTACATTTTTGCTTGCTTCTACTTTAGCTGAATATAACAGATTATTTTTCTTTCTAATAATCAACATGTGGCTGTTTTCCATGTTAAACTGCCATCAGAGTAAAACATCCTGGAAATCTGTCCTGGAAAGCTTGTGTCTGAGACATCTTATTTCAGAGATTGATGATCCTTACTCTATAAAAAAAAAAGAAATAGGACACTATACTCCACTAAAATCAGGTGTGGAACCCAGAGATAAAATCGAGTGGGGTATTTTTAGTCTCCTGGGCCTGTGAGGCTGGACAGAAGCTGGTTTAAGAGGATAAGCCAAAGCTAGCTGTTGGACTTTAATCACAGGCCATAAAACTCGAAAGGTTACTCGATGATGGTGGTAGACAAGCCACAATGAGAACTCAAAAAGTAATGGCAGTTATCCCAAGGAGACCATGAACAACTCTGAAATATAATGATGATTCTCTCAACAATTGGCCAGACAATTTACTCAAGACATACATTTCCCTAACTTGTTGCTGCAAAAGGAGAAGCCCAGGGAACACCAAAGGGACTAGGATTCATCCTCTGGGGATAATGAATATATGTACACAACTACAAACCATTCATTAGCTATCAAGATACCATGATATTGAATGGTATGTGTCAGCCTTACTGTCTCACTTCATACAAGATTAGGGAATCACGTTAGACAAATAATTCATCATCTGGGGACTATGAATGTATGCAGATACCATTACATGATTTTCTACAATCATTTTAGTCGTGATCATGACACTTTGGTATCAAATGTAATACAATATCAGTCCAAACAATGTTAACAAATGTTAACCTTAAAGTGCCTGTACAGGTAAAGTCAGGAGAACTACAAAAGTCACTAGGATGCTTCATCTGGGGACCATGAATATATGTAGATTTATAATAATATCTGATTTTCTACAATTCGTTTAGCAGCAATCCTGACACTTTGGTATCAAATGTAATATGATAACATTACAATATCAATCTAAACAAGCCCAGGGAATCACATCAGACACTGATTATTCATCATCTGGGGACCATGAATGTATGGACCTTTTTTTCTACTTGCATCCCTTTCAATAGTTTTTGTTATATTTGAGTATAGAATGTAAAATTTAAACCTTAAAGTTACTCTACAGGTAAACTACAAAGGTCACCAGGATTCTTCATCTTGGGACCATGAATATATGTAGATTTTATTATATATGATTTTCTACAATCCTTTTTATAGCGATCCTGACACTTTGGTATCAAATTCAATATGATGGCGTTCCAGTTTCACTCCAAACCAGTCCAGGGAATCACAACAGACACTAATTATTCATTATCTGGGGACCATGAAACTCTGCAGTTGTCGAAACCTTTAAGTACAGACCCTGGGATTAAAAATAACAATATCATGGCTCCCCTGGAGGTCACATAAGGGAATCATCATAACCTCTAAGGTGTTCTGGGGACCGTGAATCAGTACCAGGATTGAAGTCAGGCAAAATAAAAATACAAATGTAAATGAACGTATGTATCTATGACTTGAAAGTGCATCTTTAGCACATAATCAGTTATTTTAAAGAAGTAAACATACTGACTGAGACGTTAGAGTCCACTCCAATCATAGTTTAGATGGTCTGACCCATATTTAAAAGTAACACTCCCACACGGTGAAATCTATGTAAGATCTCTAATCTGGTGTGAGTATTTGGTGAGACTTTAGCTGTCTATCACCTCTTGAGAGCAATTTAAACAGTCTCTTGACAGCTTGAATTTTTCCTCAAGGTCCCTGCGATGTAACTGTCATAAATCCGGGCTTTGGTAATGATATTCATTGAAATATTTGGAGGCTTTCTACTGTCTTTCATACGGTGAGTTATTTGGTGTATTGTTCCATGATGGATATGGAAATGCATCTCTCTGGTAATATTCTCTGCATATGAGGGGCCACTGATTAAAATAGATAACTGATGGGGACTTACAAGCTCCCACTCCCACACATTACAGAGGTTCTAGACGGAGACTTGATTCATGAGCCAACATTTTAATTTCCAATTCGGTTATTCATAAATGAAAGATAAACAAATCTTTAAATAAACTACTGCATGTTGGCTCTGGGACACCAATTTGTTTTCAAAGCACTTATAAGTCCTGATTGCCGCACTGATGCCGCACACACACAGATGCTCACAGAGGGATCAGTCCACACAAAGACTCATCTTCATCATTCAGATGATTCATTCGCTGCCGCAGTGGAATTGTGCTTTTATTGTCTCGGCTGATCAGCTTGACAGACAGTAATGAAATGAATGACAGAAGATATCCCGGCCTCCACTCATAAATCCTGAGTCCCTGTCCGGGAAGCGGAGGGAAGGAATTCATTATCAACAAATTAATTAGTCTTGAAAGTCTCACTCACTCGCAAGAAGAAGAAAAAAAACTTCTCAGGCCTTCGGTGCATCTGCAGTTGAGCTTCGTGCCCTTTCCTAAATGCTCACAGACATTTGTTCACACAGGTGCGCCCGTGTCGTTGTGTCTCGGCGGCCCCTGACACATGGTCTCTTCACTGCACTCAATATTCTCTGTGTTTTTTAGGCTTCCCTGCTTAACCCCCCTCCCCGACGCAGCTTACTTGACATTCTCCCAGAATATGCAGCACTACAGCTGTCGAGGCTAAGGACCCTCATATCCCGTCCCATCACTCCAAAACTCAGGTGGGTTTTTCTGTCAAGTAGACGAGGTTATCCTCGTGTCAAGGTGGTCTAGGATTAAGGTTGCAAAAACAAGACATGACACCAGAAAATCATTCACATTACTGGGAAACTGTGATATAAACTGGACTAGTATGAAGACTTACTCTGCAATCAGCAATGTGCATTTTCCATGCAGATGTGCAGCTCTTTAAAGTACTGTTTTTTGGTCTGTAACATATCAGTAAAGATTTTAAATCAGGACTATCAGACGACATTTACTTAAGCAGAATTTTTGACAAATATATCAGTTTAATGGAAATAATAATCATTAGTCGCCAAGGACTTTCTGCAGTGAGAAATGTAAAAGTCTGTTTTTTACATCATCCATCTAGCCTGTGGCAGCAGTTTGAAGCATTTAAGTTTATTATCTTTTTTGAATAATCAAGCTTTTGTCACTGTGATGGCCAAGGCCGTCTGTAATATCTTCTCTCACTTCATTAGCTTCCCACTAACATTTTAATTTGCACTCAATCACTCAATAAACACACTTAATTTGATTTATTTTCACATTAAGACTCACAGTGTTAAAGATCATACACACATTTCTGTTGTACTTATTATTTTTGTCAAGTAGGAGACAATTTACAACCATATTAGTATCATTTTTACTATTCCGTCATGACAACTAGCATTTACGGTGCATTAGCGCCACCTAGACTGAGGCTAGCTTGTGCATATGTATTTACTCATAGTCGGACTAACATGCATGCACACTCTTCCATTGGTCTAAAACTGGACTAACTGATCTACACATGTGCCAGAGTTCGAACACCAAGCTTGGATACGGAAGGTGAAAAGTACAAGGAAGTGGATTTGTAAACAAAACCTCAACAGAAGAAGAAGAAGAAAGGATGTATGTACAGTATGAAGAGAGGGTACAGAGCTGTAACAGAGACAGTGTTTTCATTCTAAATATACGTTTAGCTGACGTCTTTAAAAGGACCAATTCGTGAACTTTTAGTTTATAAATTTGCTTTGGTAACCCTTTACAGTAACCATAATTTATTAATGTAAATTGATAGTTTATTAATGTTTCATCATCATTTAAAAACAGTAGATAGACCACTTATAAATGGCAAACAGATAGTTTATTAATGTAAGTTAAGTTTCTCTACCATTAACAAGCAATGAAATTATGATTAATAATTTTCATTAATTATTAATAGACTATTTATTAAAGGTTGATATAGATTAAAATGTGTGTCAGTTGCTCTTTGTAAATGATTAATATTTGTTTTTTTTAAACCATCTATAAACACTACTTAGATGGTTTTTGTAAAGTTAGAGTTAGGGTTTTAAAATGGTAAAATTTACAATTTATTAGTGGTCTTAATCCTATTTATAAATGATGATTAAATATTTAAAAAAACTATCTGCTTACCATTAAAAATGGTCTATTCAGCATTTATAAGTTATGGTTACTGTAAAGTGTTACCTTTGCTTTTTTAATTCTCTCACAGGAGCTGTAACACTGACTTGTTACTCTTCCTTCCTGACACAGAAACATACGTCTCTTTTCTCTAAATCACTTTCTTTAACACTTCTTAAGATATTTTCATCTTAATTCAGCTCTCACTGATCTCTTTATCGCTTTAACCTTTGAGGCTTTATAATTTCTGGTTCAAACGTGACGAGGCATTTCTTCACCAGGAGTGAAGATTTGAGAAAGCTGAGAGAAAAACAGAGACCTCCACAACCCACTATTGGCGGGTTTTCGCCTCAGGTGTTGGAAATACTCATACTAGTCCACACATTATGAACCGTATGGCCTCTGACAGGTGGCGTGTGAGATTGTGCTTTTGAGCAGCGGCTAAATTCCTCCTCACCGCTCATGAGTTAAGCTGGCTGAGAAAGAAAACCTGCAGTGTGAAGAAGAATGGCTGAAGCTGCTGTGAATTTCTCAAAAGCGTCTGAGGTTGACTCTCCTGACATTTGAGCTGACATACAGAGACAGTGGGCAAACACTATTTCTCACAGTCGCACCAGTGCAGAGGATGATGACGACGTGTGCACAGAGTCGAGGAAACCTAAAATATGATGTTTGGAAAGGTGTGATTCTGAGTTGAATGTAGAGTTATGACTTTTTACTTTGTTTTTAATCTATCCTCCAATCATCCCTGTTTTTTCCAATTATTGCAATCATATCTCATTCATAATTTTCCCTTGAAGCCATCTAAGAAGTGTGTTTCATGCATTCCCTTCATTTTTGCAGCCATCTCCAGGGAAATCAAAAGCTAATCTAAGGGCAAAGTAAGGGTTTGATTTTGGCGGCGGCATGAATGGGGAGACAGAGACACCTCCTGGTCTGTTTCTGCCGTTGCTGCAGTCACAAATTCAGCTTGTGTTGGGGAATATTTTGACTTAATTAGCAGGATTTCTACAGCTGTTCTTGAAAGCAAACACAGGCAAAAATGAATCATCAAATCCAGGCAAACTGCAGCGTCCCACCTTATGTGACGGTTTAGCACGCCAGACGTAATCATCTTCAAAAGCTGTCAAAGTGTTCCTAATGCTCTCTACAATCGCACAGTTGATAAATACCAACATCTGTGTCATTAGAGAGGAAGCAGCAGAGTGAGAGGATGGATAGAAGCGAATGGATAAAAAGAGAAAAGAGAGGAGAGAGAGGGGGCAGAGAGTAAACAAGGCCATCTGGGAAATAAGTCCAGTCATTTCCATGTGTGTTGCTCTGAGCTGCCGCTTTAACAAGCTGTGCATAAAGACAAGTGTGTGTGGGTGGAGTTCCTCTTAATCATAGCTATGAATGTTCAGCAGGAAAAACCTACGGGGAGGAGAAACTTGTTAATTGAGATCTTGATCCTCCAGAGGAGTCTGCCATAACTTCAAGCTCCCCGTTCCTGTGTTGTTTTTTTTTTTCTTTTCCCAGATATTTTATTAGCTCATGCAGGGCCACACTGGAGGGTTCGATTTAATGAGGTTTGTGCATTGTTGATGTTGGTGGGTGCCACCAAACATCAAGTATATACAGAGGGGTTTATTCCAAAAACTGGAGCTAAGACAATCAGAGAAAAAATAAATCTGCTGCAGTTCCTGCTGAGTCTGCTCTCAGGACTTCAACTGCACTTTTTTTACATTTGTGGTTTGACTTCTGAAGCTGCTGCAATAATGTCAACGCAATAAAATCAACGTACTTATATACATTATCGTTCTTATAGATGTGGAAATAATTGGCAAACTAAACTGTCAGATTGTAAGATGCTGTGAGACAGTTCACTTGTGTCAACAACATATTTTTCCTAATACATATCTTTTTTTCGTCTCTTTCTTTCCTCTCCTTGGATTTTGTCCAGTTTTTGTATAAGATGTACATGCAGGCTGATATAATTGTTGATTTGATTATAAGAGTGTGGCATTTTGTTGCGTTAAGACAATTGAAACATTATTTCAAAGTGTGTTTCTGTAAATGGGCAAAATCGTTTTAATTTAAGCTACCCTGGGATACCTCAGGGTTCCATCCTTGGTCCTCCTCTGTTTTTGATATACAACAATCTTTCCAGGGTTTGTAATAATGCATCAACTCTGTGATTTCGATAATTTCAGATTCAATGATGTTGTTTGTGTTTGGATAGAATTCACTCCTTTAAAAAACATATATATAATGCAGCCTTTTGAGTTTTTCACCCAAATATTTCTGTTTTTTTCTCTTCATGGATCTTGTCAAGTATTTTAATGATATAGCTCATGTAAGCAAATAAAATTGTTGATTTTAAAATAACAAGAAGCAATAAGTGATTATCTTATTATGATGTTGCTTTGAAATTATATAAAGGACAGATAACTGTACGTATCAGCTAAAGGGTAAAAATTATTCAGATCCAAGCTAATACACGGAGTACCCCAGGGTTCAATGCTTGGACTTCTTTCTTTTTTGACAAACATAAAAAAATCTACCCTAAATTTGTTTGTAATAATGCAGTTTTTACTTGTCTTGTTGCTCCATTTGAACATTGATCCAGTAGTAGCTGAAAAAGAGTTTTCATCTATTTCCGAATGATTTCAAAGGAACCCTCACTTAAGAAAAATACACAAAAGATAACACTAAAATATTCATATTGAAATAACTCAGGTTCTTAGATTTCATAGTAGACCAAATATTAATATAAAGGACCTAAATTGAAAATGTCTGTAAAAAGACCATGTTTGTTCACCAGACTGTCACGTTAGCCAATCAGCTGCTCAGTTACAGTGAATAAAGATATTAACTTTTTTCACTTTCCTTTACTGACTTTTTCAAAGTTTTCTTCAAACCAACATATATATTTACTTTTTTTCTCATTTGAATCTGTATTATCCTTTTTAATACCTTTCCATCCCGGGCAATCAATGTGCTGCATTTCATCTTTATTTTCATATGAGGGCGGATTTTACTCTGTCTCCTGTTTTTATCACTGCACTCTATCCTTTTTATGCTCTTTCTCTATACTTTTATGTTGAGCAATCGGTGTGTAGAATTTTCCTTTTGCATGCTGCATTTCTTGGCCGACAGATGCAATAACAATATGAGTTTATCAGAAAAATATTTACTTCTGCTGTCAGTGTCCTATAACTTCATAGAAAAACTCCACTTCGTTTTAATCTCCACAGCAGACTCCTTATTTTTGTACATCTGTGGTTTTGCACGCTTGTGCACAAAGACTGATTCATCAATATTCACATGCCGACGATTTTTAGAACCACAAAGTCTGATAATTAGTAGATTAAAAGTACGAATTAAAAGTCGTTTCTCTAGTTTTCAGTCGAGCATTCTCTTGATCTGGCATCTGCTCATTTATCTGAGCCATGAGAAGATCTTAGTGAAGAATTTATTCATCAGGTAACAAAAACTATGCAGGGAAACTTTCAGCAAGGTTGGTTTAGGATTTATAAAAACTCTTTTTTAACTGGAAGTTGCTAAAATCAGATAAATCAGGTGCTATCTGGATATCATGACATGCTTGATCTTCAATGTGCAGTTAGATAGTTTGATTTGACCTGCAGTAACACTTTAAATGAACCCACCTCTTATAATGCATCATAACTGCATTTGTAAGGTTTTAAAACAATCCTAGGAAGGTATTATAAGTATTCATGACTTGTAGCAGCAAAAAAGAAGCAAAATTAGCTTCAAATTCTGGGTTTCATGACAAAATAACTCCCACAGCTTGATCCAGTTTTAAAGTCTTTTCTGTTTGTACTCTGTGAATCACAGGAATGTTTTTCCTGGTCTATTTTTTCCCATTTTTAAGAACCTTGTCTAATAATTTAATGTAGTTCAAAAAGGAATATATGATACAGGAATCAAGTGTCCTTAAATTACATTGAATAAAATATTTAAATGTTTTAAAAATGTATTATTCAAACAATTATACAGTATTTGTCTGCTTTACTTACAGCCACATTATACTGCTTATCCGCTCTAATGCAGGATCATCAAAAACCTGTTACTTTAAAGGCACTATAAGGAGTTTTACAAAGTTGAAAAACAGACTGAAACTAACAATGATGTCCTAAAAAGGCAAACAAGAGCAATGGCAACAACTAATATAAAACCTCTGAAGTCAGTTTTAATGCTAAAAATCAAGGTATGAGTGTGTCCACAGGGGGGCGCCTAAGTGTTGTAGCATTTTATAAGTACTAAGAAGACATCATTCTTATAGAGATGATAACTTTTATCATATTGGATAACCTCGTGTGTCTCTATGAATCATAGTAACCGCATAAAGTTGTTGAATTTAAAAGACACTTAAGCTTGTTTTTAATCAAGATAGAAAACAAATTAAACCTTTCTTAGGCCTCATTTACTATCAGTACACATGGCTCTAAAATCTGAATGCTCATAACCACTTAAAAGGATAGTTATTACACCTTTTAAATGCATTTATAAGACTTTACAGGTGTGCTAAGTGTGAGTTTATATAAAGTGTTACCAGTGTTACAAAACCACAAAATCCCAAATAAAGATTATTCACTTGTAAAATGTTAAAGGACCAATTCAAGCACTTCAAGTTTCTAATAAAGGGATTTAATGGCACAGTGATGTGTTAAATAGACGTGTGTTAGTATCTTATCATCTGGGTATGCCACAGAGAGAGAGAGATCATGAGTGTAGGATGTTATTGTGAAGTACAACACTGTATTTTTTTCTGTTTTTACTTCAGTTTGACCAACAAAGTACAAAGCAATCATACGTATTAAATAGACGGGGTGATTTTCTTTGTTTTTATGAGTTTGTTTACTAAAACTAAGATGAGACTGATCAGCTGAGTAAACAGAGACAGAAGCTTTGAAACACGCTGAGTCCTCCCCGTTTGGCATTCAGTGAATGTGATACAAGAACTGCACAAAAAAAAAAAGAAAAGAAAGAGTCCACACTGGGGCAGCTGTCAGAGTCCATTTCAGTGCTCAGCTTTCATCAGCCTCCAGGTTAATGTTGTTACCAAACTTGGCATAGAGCTGGACCTTCAGATCCCCCAACAACTCCTGTATGGCTGACACCCGTGCCTCCAGACCCTTGACCTCCAGCTCCAGCGCTTCCTGATCAGAGAGCGTGAAAACTCGGGTTAAAAGAGGACTGGCTGAATGTTATATATCATCAAGGTTAAAGACACTTAGAAATAACACTTTAATACCTGTAGGATGAAAATAATCTAGAGGGAAACGTCACAGCGTCAAACTCATTGATAATCAGCAGATACGAGATGTAAAGCGCTCTGTTGGTTTCACATTTGCGATGCAGCGAGTGTGGCAGACTGATCCACATTCATCAGCGGAGGCCTTTGCAGTACGCTGCTCTGTAGTGGGATGAATCAACAGCAAAACCAAGGACACAAAGGAGGAGACAGAAGGGAGGACAGGCACTGATCTGAACTTCTTCTCGGTCAGTTCCTGCTCTCTTTGTAGTTCATCAGCTTTGAAGCGTCCAAACTGACCGGGGAGGATCTCACACGCCCCTGAGAGCAAACCGCCATCTGGCTGCTTAATGTCTTCCAACACGAATGAAAGAGCCAGATTTGGTGGTCGGGTCGAGTCATGCACACACTGTCCCGTCCTGGTGAACTCTTGGTTGCTGACCAAGTATCACTGCATGTGCATTTTGTGTCTTATTTTGGTCAAATCACTGAAAAGACCCTCACTACTGAAAGCAAGAGAGTCCATCAACTTTTCAGACACATATTTCTCTTTTTTAAGGCTTTAAAACATAAAAAACCCAAAACTTTGACCACTCAAATGTTAAATAAGATGATGTAAACCTTCCCTGGGAATAAAATTTGCATGTTTCTAAATACAAAGAGTTGTTAAAGATTTCCCTCTGTACTCACGGACAAAGTTTTGCCTTAAAAGTGTCGTTTTTATCGAGTTATACAGTAGAAATTTGAATAACAGTTTTGTGAATCCTCAGCATCACAATGGCACTTTTGTTATCTGGGCACCTTTACAAAAAAAAAGGCTTTTAAATCTTCTTACAGCTGCTGCAATAAAAAAAAACTACAAAGAGACATTTTCAACATAAACTGATGCAGGAATAACCTGTGCATGATTTATATGTTCAATTTAATACAGGTGCAAAACACTGTGTGAGTTTAAAGTCATATAGTTCTCTTTAAGTTAAGAGTCTGTGTCTGTGTGTGTGTCTCGCTTTTGTAAAACCTGCAGACCGCATGAGTAAATGCCAAGCTTCTGTTCCGGTTCACAAATCAACACAGCCATCTTTAAAGATTATTCTCGGTGTGTTCGTGATTTGCAGCCGCGAAGCAAATAAATGTGCACTGAGCAGCATCTGTACGACCAGATTTGTTAAAGCACGAGCTCAGAGGGAGTTAAGAAAAGGATTATCGGTTTCATACACTCCTGAATTATTTTATTCCAAAAGTGCACCGAAACAAGTTCTTGACTTTTATCCAACCTCTTTCCGTGAGAGAAAAGGTGCTTACGGCTAAAACGGCGTTGATATGGAGAGTTAATGTTGCATCAGAACACAATCTGATTATCAACAGAGCATAGTGCTTAAGCCTGGAAATCCAAAGGGTACACTCCTGTTGGAAACAAATAAGGCGGTGAAATCACTTTGAAATCGTCCTTTTTGGGGGTTTTAATGATTAAGAGGTATGACCAATGATTTTCAACCTTTTCTAACCACGACCTCTCCATAAAAGTTGGAATTTTCATACTTTTCCATACCCTAATTTTTAAAATCTTTTTTGGAAATACCTGCTTTTCTATTTTAGAAAACATCAAAGTCAGAGGATTTAAAATATTAACAATCCCAGAATTGAACAGAAATCCGATAAAACGGGCAAAGATTTCCAAGAAAATGAAGCAAGAAAAATATGCTGATATGTCAGATTTGTAAGTTGATACTCTGGCAGAGGAAGGTTTGTTGGCAAAATTAACATAAAATTAAGTTGAAAGTATGTAAACAACACCTCTCTGAACTACAGTGTAAAAAAAGAAAAATGACCATGACCAAAAAAGGCGGTAGCAATAGATACAGAAATGTCTTTTTTTTGTGATGTTTGGTATATTTGTGATATTTTGATGTTCTATACATGACAAAGGTAATTAAAGAATAATGAATTAAATGAATTCAGTCCTTTCAGCTTTACTTTACTCACTTTTTTAGACAGTTTGAACTTAAGGCTGCGACCCAAATTAATCTCTGTGTCTATTATCAAATGTAAGATCTTCTCCTTAGTCTTATTTACTCAATGATTCTGGTTGAACAGGTCTTAAACTGGAGCTGACAGACCTATAGACTCTGAAACTCACCTTAGCAGCCTCTAGCATCTCTTGTGTTTCTTCTTGGGTGTGATTGATGAAGACGTCCCCAATTTGATAGGGTACTAACAGAGTGTCGTCATCAAACATCATCAGGTCGTCACTGGCGTCCTGGAGGTTTTGAAGCAACTTCTGTGTGACGACATTAGCAGACCATCAGGGAAGCTCGTTAATTAGGGTGTCAACAGTTAAAGACTCGAGAAGCTGCACTGCCCTTCAGTGACTCATCTTAAAAAAAAAACAGCAATGATTAGACAGACATCATGGTCATGTGTTGTGCCAAGAGGTGTGGTCCAGATCCAAGGGTAGAGCAAACATTGGAAAGTGACCATTAAGTTTACTCAACACCTCCTTACAACAGCTCAACAAACACTCAAGTTCTCATAAAAGAAACTAGGTCCTGTGAACTGAATTCACTTGGGCCCATAAACGAGCCAATTATAACGTCTACAAGCTTCGTCACAAGTGTTTTCTAAGGCGACAGCGTATGAAAACACGCAGAAGGGAAAGTATTCAACTGGGACACAAGTATTACAAAAGTGAAAATGAAGAATTAAGAGACTGGTTTTATAAAAAATAAAAATAAAAGTTATAAGAATATAAATAATTATAGTTATTACATCTGTTTAGGGTTTTAAATGCTCATTTTAAGTCGAGGTCCACTTTCAAAAATGAGTTACTGACCCAAATCTCATGAAAGTAAAACTACAAACTAAATCCTACTTATTTAATATTGCAGCTACGTATCCGTCATTTAATATTTACCTAACCTTCGTTCATCTGTCTGCGTTTCTTTTCTTTGTGACGAACTTTAAGATACACTAAAGGTGACATTACACTCCTAATAATAATCACATCAACAATGACAACCATCTTTATTTATGTTTGAGGTACTTGTAGTCATGGTGTTATGACTGACGTCTTGTGGACCACACCATTTGAGTCACGACCTATGAAAACACCCTGAACTGTTTCTATTTAAAGCTCCTGTGAGAAGTTTTGATCTGGTTGTGAAATCGTCTAAAATTGGTGTATTTTTTATTAATTAAAAAAAAAAACAACAACATTTTCTTCAGTAGCTTCCATGTCATGAGATCAAAGGACCTAGGACCTAATCTTTAAACAAAGAAAGACACACTTGTCTGTCCTCTAATGTCTACCCCAAGACGGCTGATAACTGTTTATCAAAGTAAAAAAAGAGAGAAGAGGTGGAAATGTTTACTGAGTTCAGAGTCTTGTGCAACTGGTTGAGACTGTTAAGAAGATAAGAAAGACAAACAAATAATCTCAAAATGATGATTAAGAACAATTTTCTTAAACTGAGCTCTTTATTTTGCTCTGTCTTTATACATGTAAATGCTGCCCTTACTAGGGTTTGTCATATTTAATTCTTTTGTAGTGTTCATTGTTTGCATCTGTGGATTTGTTAGAGAGGAGAAAAAAATCTGCTATTTGATTTTAATCAGCCATTTATAGTTGTCAAGATGTTGATGCTTTTGTCATATAAATAAATTTATTTCAGAAAAAGTTTTGCCTATTTTACTTTTTGGACTATTTTTATTTAGGATATATTTTTCACTTAAATGTGCACCTTATGAAGCTCCAATTTAAAAAAAAACAAAAGTACTCCTGCAGTTATACAGTATTTATATTTCATTTTATTGTTCTTTGAACAGCTGAGCATAATTTCATCCGGCCAGTTTAAATAAAACGACTTTTGACATGTCGTATTTGGCTTTGACTGTGACTACACATTTGCTCTCACTTTGCGAAAACAATATCAGGATATATCGTATATCGATAATGAGCCTAAATATATTGGGATATGACTTTTGGTCCATATCGCCCAGCCCTAAAAGGACCTAAACTTGATTTTAAATAACAGTACTTATGTCGACCAATAAGACAAACATTATTTGATCAATTTTCACTGTGCCCCTAAAGTTTTTTGTGTGCTCCTTACTTTTGTTACCTACTTTTTTATTGTATTAGACCTATTATACTTCTTAGTTAATCTTCATTTCCCTAATTATGATTATTATCACTGATTTCACCAGCAGTAACAGTCTCTGCAGAGCTGTCAAAAACACTGATAATACTGGTTTTAGTGGTAAATATGTGTGACAGCAGCACAGCTCTTACTTTCTTGGCTTCTATTTCATTCTTCAGCTCCGTCATTCGATTCGTGTTTCTGGCGAATTTATTGATCTTCTGCTGGTCTTCAAATGTGACATTCACGTCTTCAACCGCCTGCAGACAAGAAAAAGGGTTAAATCTGAGCCTCACCAATGAATGGTAACAGCTTAATTCACCTGGAAACGGAAAAATAAGTGCAGTTTTATTCACTTTTTAAGATAAAAACAAACATTTACTGCAAAGTTTCGTCCCTAACTATCACCAAAACTTGTTAAAAACGCGACTAATATCTGAAAAATCAAACGTTAACTAGCAATAGAGCTAGCGGTTAAGCTAACGTTAGCGACCATGAGCCACGCGAGGGTGTGTCCACGAGACGTTACACGTATCAGACATCATGTATTTTGGCCTCACCTCGTCAAAGTTAACATAATCTCTCCTTTAAACACAGCTACGGGTAAAAAAATCATCAGAAAGCGTTAATTATAAAGGAGAAATGCTTTAAAGTTGGACTTACCACAGTTGTCTTCATGGTGGCTGCCATCTTTACTTCCTCGACTGCGCAAAGACAGTAGAGTCAACATAACATTTTAGCTCTGCTGCCACTTAACGAGGAGCCTCCAGTATGACACGGAAAAAACAGCATAATAACTGCTTATTCGTTTCAGTTTTGATGCTCTTGTCGATTAATTAATTTTACGGTGGCCGAGAACCACCACTGCTGTAAATAAAAAAAAAGCAACATAAAAAAAACAGAAGTCACAACTGAAGTTAACGGTGCAAAAAACAAACAAACAGATAATTTAAAGATTTTTTTTTTTAAACGGAAGTTAACGATGCAAGTGCATTTTGGCAATGCAAAGAAAATAAATACATTTTTTAAAAAGTTGTTTATTGTGAAAATAAAAGGATGCAAATAAAAATAAAAGCCACAACGGAAGTTACCAATGCAAAAAATAAAAATAAAATACAATAAAAAAAATAAAGAAACAGAAGTCTGCTGCAAATAAAAAAGAAACGAAAGAAAATAAATAAAATAAATAAAATAAAATAAAAAGAAGGAAGTTAACACTGCAAGAATGAGTGGCGCTGGAAAAAAAAAAGAAAATTACTTCGAAAATAAAAGGATGCAAATAAAAAATAAAAGACTGGCTCTGCAAAAATTTTTTTTTTTTTTTTTTTACTGCATTATCATTACTGGTCCCTGGCAGCTCACTTCCATTGTGGCTTTTTTAAAATTTGGGTCCTTTCATTTTTTTTCTTTCCATCACCACTTTTTTTTTCATCATTATCTTCTATTGTGCCTTTTTTTTTTTTTTTACTATTTTTTTTTTTGCAGCGGGCCATGGTTTCTTTTTTTTTTTTTGCATCGATAACTTCTGTTGTGACTTTTTTTTTTTTGCATTCTTTTTTTATTTGCAGCAGTGGCGGTTCTCAGCCACCGTACATTTTGTATTGTCACCTCCCTTTAATAAACAAATAAAGAAATTTGGCCTCAAAGCCAGCTCTGCCCTTTACTTCCGTCAAAATATTTATTGAGCTTTGACATTTTGTTTATTAATGTGTGAAATCTGGTAAACACGATTTCAGCCGACTTGTTTTTGATCATTATCATAAATTATTACCAAAAAAAAAAAGTGTTCAGACTTGCTTACAATTTGTTGAACTAGTTGGTGTATCAACCGGAACTGATGTTCTGTAAATATTTTTTCAGCAAACAGAACTGCGCCCATGTTCAAATATTTACATCAGTGAAACTTCACTCCTATTAATCCAAGTTATAGCTGCAGAGCGTTTCAATAGAAGTAGTGAAGTGCACCACATCAAAGACTGTCTGGTACTTTCACACAGTAGTTATCAGTGGAATTCATGCTGTTTCGGTTCACTTTTTACGATGCTGGGCGTGCTGTTCGTGTGTGAGGGCTGACACAAATAAAAGCAGTGGGCCGCCCTGCGTTGGTTCATGAAGAGTTTGCTTGAGGTCTCTCAGCTGCAGGCCTCGCATGAAGTCAGAAGTACACAATCCAAACAGGGGAATCCACCTCCCACCTCAATGTGCAGGCTATAGGCTACAATCAGGACATTGTTTTCACAGATTCCAAGCCTTGACATGATACATTGACTACACACAGCACATTTAAAGCTCTTAAACCCAATTCACTGCTGCTGATGCTTATCAAACAACAAAATCAAAGACTTCACAGCTCTCTTGCATTAAAAAAGACTTGATTTTGTCTGACAGGGTGTGATGAATTGAGAAATTAGTTGTATTTTGGCGTTTGTCAGCGTGATCAGAGCACATTTTCGCACCACAAACAAAACAAAAGATGAACAAATGACAGGGGGGAGGAATCAGTTGATGAACTGAAGCCTTTGATCGGGGTAACAGCTCACAGATAGGCTTGTGTAATGCATTGACAGGCCTGTGTAGAAGTCTGTAAAGGCACATGATTTCATTACTGAGCTCTTTGTGTGTCTTGATTAACTGTGATAGCAAAACTGATATTTGGTCTTTGCAAAATACCAAGATTTTCTTTGTGTGAGGTTATATCAAATAAGTCCAACAGGAACTCTTATTTTGAAATTCTCTTATGATCAACAAATGAACTAAAAAAAAAAACAGATAACAAAGCCCACATTGATATGACTTTAAAATGTGTTAACTAACTTGATTCGACAGGATTATCAGTTTAAACACACTTATTTTGTTTTAACAGTAAAAGAATATCCCAGGCCAATATCCTTAACACACATCCTGTTACTTCTCAGCTGCATTTGTTAACAAAACTGCCCTGCACCGCCTCGTCTGAGTCTGATTGATTAGAGCCTAACCTCTTTGTCGTCTTGTCTGATTATTTTCACAGAACTCACTGAGAGATTACCATGTGCCGATCATGTGATTCCACAAAAGAAAACCAACACCTCTCGGGGCGGATGGCGGGCTCTTAACTGGAGGAAGTCCAAATTGGTTACTTTGAAAAGTCACGCCCATTTTTCAAAGCGCACATTAAATAGCGTGTTTACCGTAGTCCTGTATACACAGCTGGGCAGGAGCTGCGAGTCCATCACTGTGGCACGGTGACAGAAACTTTTCCTACAGAGGATATTATTTGCTTAACTAGCAGGGGTGAAACAAGGTGAGATGTATGGAGTTGAGGAGGCCAGACACCTTCTCTTTGGATGCTATATATTTTTTATTTTTTGATTTTAAAGGTAATTTCCTGTTTTATCTCTTTCAGGTGAACCTGCGGTAAAAATCAAAGTCTGTGTCTGTCTGGGTCGACTGGAAAAAGATGGGAAACGAGCCGTCAGCTCCCAAAGAGCGAACCAGGGTAAACTTATACCTGAACCTAGATGACTTTAACATGGAAAAGCAGCATTTAGCTCTCTTTAAATTTAGTATTTTTGTTCATATTTAAACAGTTATTATAATATATCCTGAGCTAAGGAGCTAACAAGAACTCAAACTTCTGTGTCATCTATTTGTAGAGTTTGAAAAAATCTGAAAGACATGAGAATGGATCAGCGCATGGACTTTCAGCAAACATCACATCTAATGGATTACAGGTTGACGGTGAGTCACATCCTTAAAACTTCTTTTCTTATGGATAAAAAAATGTTAGAAAGATTTCATTAACAAAAATTCATGTAAAAATGTGGCGATAAGCAAATGTTGGCTTAGTGGTGGTATCTAAGACAAGCGATTCAAAGGACTTTAGTAGGTTTATCATATAGTGTTGGATACCTGAAGGAAAAGTGTTGAACATGTCAGCTGAGACAGGCTAAATCAGCTGATCGCCCCATGTTTTATCAACCCTTTAGTTTTTTAATGCTCTGTAAACATCGTGACTCCCAGCTGGACTATGTCTTGAGTCTCCTAAAGTAAACTCTAGGCGTAGCCTCTGACAATTAACAAGGAGCCAGTATTTGAACTGTCACGGTGTGGTTTTAGTACCTGAAGTGACAGGAAGATTCCCACTGATGCTCGAGTTTGTATAGAAGTGTTGACACTAGAGATAAAGGTAATGTCACTTCCATGTTTACCTCATGGGATACTGCACAAGCATTATACATGCATGACCTAAATGCTTAACGTAAAGAGACAAACACACAAACTAGCATCAGTGTGTTTCGACTTCTTTTGTCATATATATTATAAAAAATGTCGAGACACCAGTATTAAGGAATTCACAACTGATGAAAAGTCTTAATTAATAACTTAATGACAATATTAAGAACATCCCGACGTTTACCAATTTAGAGATACCGTACAATGTGCTGTTTGGCAACAGTTGATTGGAAGCAACTTTTTTTGTTCATGTTTTAACCAGAAATGTTTTTAGTTAAAGGTGATACACCTGTCCAGCAAAATGGCGGGCCTCCATCTGAACAAACTCAAGGTATCCTGGAAACTGTGATCGACAAGAAGGATGAGGTCATTGAAACCGTGATCAACAAGAAGGACGATGTCCTGGAAACCGTGAACAAGACGGGTGAGGTCGTGCAAACGGTGAACAACAAGAAGGACGAGGTTCTTGATACCGTGAACAAAAAGAAGGACGAGGTCCTGGAAACCGTGAACAACTTAACAGGGGATGTCCTGGAGACCGTGAACAACAAGAAGGACGAGGTCCTGGACACAGTGAATGAGAAGAAAGATCAGGTCCTGGAAAACCTGAACGTGAAGAAGGAAGAGGAGAAGAAACCCAAAATCAGTCTGTTTGGCAACATGTTCAAAAAGAAGGCCGAGCCTCCTGCCAAAGAGACCAAGAATGAAGACCAAACAGATCAGACAGCTTCAGGGGAAAGTCCTGCCGCTGATCCAGAACCTGTGAGTGCACTTTTCATGATGGCTTTTGATACTCAATATTTTTCTTTCAGTCAACAAATCCCATGAAAAAGACAAGGAAATAAACTCCAAAACAATCCAAGTTATCGTTGGACTTATGCCAGGCTTTTATATATCTGCATATATCGTAAACATAAAGGTCCACTGTTGTTTGAAAAACGGTGATAAGAAGGTTCAGAGGCACTGAGAAAAGTGCTGCTGCATCATTTATTTGTATTTTTTTCATGGGATTTGTCAACAACTTAGAAAAATGGTCAATCTATAATAATCTTTCCAAATATCTAAAAACAACCTGCCTGCCAAACTGCCTGAAATCACTAACATTTCATAAAACTTTCCTTTATACTAACAATTAATTCAGCAGATAAATCATGATAAAAATATGACAAAATTCTAAAGAAGACTAACGTTTTAACCAAGAGCCAATAACGTCATCGAGAGATCAAAAATTAACAACCATCAGATGCGTGTAATGCGTATGAACACAACAGCCTCACATTAAATAAACCATCATTTAAAAAGTTCGCTGTTATTTTTGTTGGACGGTTCAAAGACATGTACTTGTTTGTAAAAATCCAATGGATCCTGGTGGCCATGTTCTTGTGATGTTACGCCTAGGGTGCGAAGTTTAATTGTTGCTATCATGACAAACAGCTGTATTTCAGGTTTTAAGGTACATAAATGAAACATCTAACAATCTCTTATTTTTTCACGCTTCTCGATTAAGTAACATTATTGTTAGCACTACCCAAGTAGTCAACTCAAACTTGTTATTTTGCTTGTGTGTAAACATTAACTAAAAAGTGGTCAAATGCTAACATTAGCTCTGATCTGACAGTAACTAAGCTACATTCTCAACTCAAAATTTGGCCCAATGCCTTGCAAAGTTTTTTAAGTATCTTTTCATCTGGGAAATAGTGAAATTAAGATGATAATATGCCTCAAAAACTGGAATGCAGCTACTACAAGGCTTCCTACCCTGAGAATGACATCGCTAACATGGCTGCTTTGGGAATATGGTCTATAAGATAACTAGAAATAACCCATAGGACTGTTGTGCTTCATGGCATTACACCGAAGCAACATTGTTTTAAAGTGATCAAGCGCATGGTTGTCAATGTGTCCCACAGACAAAACAAAAAAGTGTTTTATTTTAACGTTAATGTTGATTCTCACGATTAAGGAGTCGAGCTCAAGTGGACGACGAGCTGCCGCCAAAATCGTCGCATGTTTCAGAGAAGAATTTGTATATCTACATCTGAGAAATGAAGTATCAACCCAAACGGATGGAAGAATATTGGTGCATACTTCAACACAAACTGGTTATGATACAATCGCCAATGTTGCTGGACCAGTGGAAGAGGTGATGGACACAACAGCAGCTGAGGAAAACTTTCTGAATGATTCTGTCGTTGTCATCGGTGAAGAGGCCATTGACTTGACAGCAAACCCAGATCCTGTGGTTCCTGGGATCAGCTTTGAAGAAGTGGTCATCATGGAGGACAGTGTGTACGAGAATATAGTCTTCGAGGCTGAGCAGGTTGAATTGGCAGAATCGGTTCTTGAAGGTGAAACAGCCAAAGAGCAGAAAACTCTATCGTTTAAAATCACTCCAAGCCCTTCCACAGCAGAATGCAATAAAGCAGTTTTCTCTGCTGGTTGCGAATCCACTTACTTTGTTGCTGTTGACCTGCCAAACACAACTGTACACAAAGGTAATGGTATAAGGGCTGAAGATATAGCTGCCACTTCCTTGGGAGCAAAATGGGTTTCTCCCCTAAAAGAAGAACCAGGAACTTTAAAGATGGAACCAATTTTGGGGGATGCTTGTCCAAACCAGCTACAACCAGTAGAACTTTGTTTACCTCCTGTAACAGAAATTAGAGTAAAGGCGGGGTCTGTCTACAAAGAGGTTTCTGCTGATTACGATGCCATTTCACTTGGTGATAAACCAGGAACAAGTGAACAACAGAATCCTAACCCTGTGAGTTATGATGAGCCACTGCAGAAGACTTATCATTGCCCTGAAGAAAACATCATCGTTGTGGCTCCTCAGAATGGGCTCATCACCATTGAGGAACTTCCTGAAGATATTTATAACTCTCCTGATGCTGAAGACAAGCCTGGGCTTTTTTCTGACGTTGTTTCTGTCGACAAATACGCAGAGGTTTGTAAAGATCAGGTAGCTGATTTGGAAACACAGACTGTTGAAGAAGCAGAACCCAGTGGTGTCATTGTCACAGATGTTGCTGAGCTGGTACCACTTGCTGCAATTGATGCCCTTGCTCTTGATTTTTCAACCATCGCCATCACTTCTCAGGAGTCTGAAGTCAACTATAGCATCCTCATGACAGAAGAGGTAATTGTTGCAACAACTTATGTCCCCCTTTTTGGAGAGGAAGTTGCAGGCCGCACCCCACAAGATGAGCAATATGAGGTAGTCACCAAGGAGACAAGTGAAGAGGCAACAGAGGCTTTATCAACTGGGATTGAAGCAATGCCACCAAGTACTGAAGTGGTCACCACCCTGCAGATTGAAAGCATATCGACATCCAAACAAATCTACACCATCTCAGAGGAAGCGAATCCAAGCCCTTGTGGAGATGACATCGGGGTGTTTGAGGACATACCCACAGCAGCTGTTGGAGCTGTGTCAGACAGGCTTCAAGTGACAGAAAAGATAGCCGAGGAACCTGCAGTAGATAAACCATTGATTGATAACACAGAAGAACTAAAGCTTTGTGTGTCAGTCCCAGAGGCACTCGTAAAGGGGACTGACACACAAGGGCAAGTGCTGATGAAAGATGCCAGTAAGGAAACAGCTGGTCCATCCTTGGCTACTGTGGAAGGTATTGTGCCAACTGATTCAAATCTGTCAAGGCCAAATAAGGTCAACCTTCTTGGACAGCAACCAAAATCAGCAGGGCTCATGGTTAAATTTGAGAACAAACTAAAATCCGTTGCCCACTCATTCTCAGAGAAATTTCAAGCAGCAGAAAACATATTTGAGGGGCATGTACTCAAGCAAGCAAATGCACCACTAACACGTGGCACGCAGGACTCTGATTCTTGTATGTCAGTTCAACAAGGACTCGTAGAAGAGAACTACATTCTTGTTGGAGAACATCCGGAAGAAGATGATCAAGAAGCAGCTCCATCATTTGAGGTTGCGGAGGAATGCAGTGAGGAGAGTGTTTTAAACCCTGGTGTTTCTGCAGGACATACAGAGTGCAGTGCAGGCCTTCTTGCACAACAACCAGTGATGGAAGAGCTGGTGGTTAGGTATGAAAACACAACAGAATCAGTGATTGACGCTGCACTGGAGAAGCTTGAACTTATTGTAGTTGAAGAACCCACAGAAGATCAAGCAAGTACACCCCAGATGACTGCAATGGAGGAATCTGAACCAAATGATTCAGTGCAAGTAAGACTTGTAGAGGAGAGCATTACCTCATTTGGAGATGTTAATAAAGAAACAGTCATTCCAAATGCAGATGAAGTAGAAAAGTCAACCGATTCAATTGTAATTCCTGAAGAACCTATGGTGTACAGCGGAAACCATTATAGGCAACAAACAGAACCTGGCGAGTTGGAGGACACTCTAGCAGTAGTCAACATGGCTTTTCCAGCAAAACTCAGAGCTACTGAAAACGTAGTTGAGGCACCCGTGGCTGATGAAACCAGTGTGCCACAGGAAACCATGGAGGAGTTGAAGCTCTGTGCTTTGGCCAGTGGAGGACTTGGAGAAGAAAACATCACCCAAGTTCGAGTGCTTTCTGAAAATGCTGACACAGAACGTGCCACTCAATTTGTTCCAGTAAAATGTATTGAAACTGATTTCTATCCTGTCATTCCCAAGAAGCCTGTGGTTAACAGTGCACCTCTTCCTGAAATACAACCAAGACATAAAGTACTTGTAATACGGTCTGAAAATCTACCAGCACCAATTGTTAAAACTTTTTCAGAAAAGCTTGAATTCAATGAACACACAGAAGGGGAATCTGCAGATGATCCAGTACCTGTGTCCCACATGGAGGCCAGTGAAGCATTTGACTCATGTGCTACAATCCAGGAGAGATTGCTTGAGGAGAATGTAGCCTCACTTGAAACACTTCTGAAAGAGGCTTGCGAAGAAACAGCTCCTCCATCTCTGCCCCTTTGTGAATGCACTGAACCCATTGATTCAAATCCAGTCATTTCTGAGGAATCTGCTGAAGAGAGTTTAAACCTTCTTGAGCAACAACCAGCAACCATATGGCTCATGGTAAAGCCTGAGAACACACTGGAATCACTCAAAGAAGCCATCTCAGAGAAGTCTGAAGTCATGGAAGGCACTCTTTTGGAGCCTGTCCTCGAGCAAGCAGATGCGCCCCAGGTGGATGCCATTGAAGAGCTTGAGCCTCGTGTCTCAGTCGAAGAAGATTTAATAGAGGAGATGGCCATACCAGTTGAGGTGCCCTTAGAAGATGCACTTAAAGAACCAGTTGTCCCATCTTTTGTTGTAGTAAAATACACTGAACTAACCGATTCAAATTCTGCCATCTCTACAGAGTCTGCGGGGCAGAGTGCAACCCTTCTAGAGCAACAACCAAAACCAGAAGAGCTCACTGTTGATTTTGAGAACAATCAAGAACTAAATGTTGGCGTTACAGAACTTGTAGTGACCTCTGAGGAGAACTTGAGCCATCATGAGGAACAACTTAAACCCGAGAGGCTCATGGTGACCCTTATGACGACTGATAACAGCTCCCAAGTGGCAACTTTAGATGGGCTTGCGTCAGAGTGTGTTGATGCTGTTTGTGAAACTGCTGAAGAAACTGTTAATGTTGCAACTGGATGTGACTTTATCACCACGGTTAATTTTGAGAACAATCAAGAACTAAATGTTGGCGTTACAGAACATGTAGTGACCTCTGAGGAGAACTTGAGCCATCATGTGGAACAACTAAAACCAAAAAGGCTCACGGTGACCCTTGTGAAGACTGATAACAGCTCCCGAGTGGCAACTTTAGATGGGTTTGTGTCACAGTGTGTTAATGCCGTTTGTAAAACTACTGAACAAACTGTTAATGTTGCAACTGGATGTGAACTTATGACCACGTTTGATTTTGAGAACAATCAAAAACTAGATGTTGGAGTTACAGAACTTGAAGTGACCTCTGAGGAGAACTTGAGCCATCATGAGGAACAACTTAAACCAGAGAGGCTCATGGTGACCCTTATGACGACTGCTAACAGCTCCCGAGTGGCAACTTTAGATGGGTTTGTGTCAGAGTGTGTTGATACCGTTTGTGAAACTACTAAAGAACCTGTTAATGTTGCAACTGGATGTGACCTTATGACCACGGTTGATTTTGAGAAAAATCAAAAACTAGATGTTGGAGTTACAGAACTTGAAGTGACCTCTGAGAAGAACTTGAGCCATCATGCGGAACAACTTAAACCAGAGAGGCTCACCGTGACCCTAATGACGACTGCTAACAGCTCCCAAGTGGCAACTTTAGATGGGTTTGTGTCAGAGTGTGTTGATCCCGTTTGCGAAACTACTGATCAAACTGTTACCGATAATGTTGCAACTGAATGTGACCTTATGACCTCAGAGGAGGTATCTCGAGTGATCACTGCAGAAGGACCGGCTGAAATGAACTCCACAGATTTAATGTTGGATTCACAAAGTGCAGAGACTATTGATGACAACGTGACCGCGAGTCCAGCCGTGGAAGAGTTACTTGTTTGTCTGCAGTCGGCTTGTACATCAGTTGTTGCTGAATCAGAGTACGGGCTTGATGGTGTGGAGGTATCCTCACTGGGGTACAATATTACCATTGTTATTCACATAGCTCCAGATGAAGAACAGTAAAATACTTGAATTGTTTTGCACAACGCTTTACCAAACGCTCTACCTCTTTTGAGTATTGTGTGCTATATATTGTAATTTGTAATATAATGTGTTTTTATGATGAAGTGAATTGCATATGTTTTTATTTATGATTGACATAAAATTAAAATGGTAAAGAACTAAAATTTTTCCATTAAAATCGAAGATAAAACTTGGAAAAAGTCTCCTTCATTCATGACTTGCTCAATTTGTGCTTTCAAAACACACTTAATGGTTTCACGGCTGATTATTGAGGCCAATATTCAGCATTTGGTTGATTATCTGAACGCAAAAGACAGTGAAACTTGCTCAATTTGTTTCTAGTTTCTAATTCACACTGTAAATTAGCATTAGTTCCAAATATCTGTTATTTGTCGTATAGTATACTACTAATAATAATAAGTATTGTATTGGCACTGAAAACCCAATCAGTCAATCCCTTGTAGAAGCGCAACACTTGGTTAAAATGAAAAAAAAAAAGACTTTTATCTGACGAAGCCAAAGACAAATCAGAACAAAGAGATTCATTGAAAACTATTTTGAAATCAGGGTTGGTGTATTTTCTTTTTTAACACACTGGACCCAAAGACACAGCAAGGTATTTGATATTCCTCACATTTCTGAGGGCATAACTCTCACACATTGTTGAATATCAATGAGTGAGGGGTGGGACAGAGACATTAATAAAAGGCTGATTGTTGACAAAGCCCCGAGTAGGCAGAGGCATGGTTGGAATTGCGCTCCCATCTCAATGCTGCGATTAAGACACTCACTGCTTGCATATCAGCGCCGCTGCTCTAACATAATTCTGAAAAGGCTAATTCTCTGTGATGGTGTATAGGAGCAAGCTAAGGTAGAGCAAGAACCAGAGCCAGAACCAGTACCGGAGCCAGAGAGTGTGATTCCAGAGCCGGGTCCAGAGGAAACTCCTGAACCTGAACCTGAGGACAGTCAGCCTGAGGAAAGTGAAGAGGAGAGTATCCCAGGAGAGAAAGCAGTTATGAGCTTCTTCAAAACACTAGTAAGTGACATGATTCTGCATTCAAGCAGGGACTCTATGCACTTGGTAGTTTTCACTGCTGCTCTTGTTTGATTAAATTAACTCAAATACCACTTTGCAATTTCCAGAACATACTGGAGGCAACCAGCTGCCACTTTGACAAAAAAAAGGGTTAAAATGTGATTTTTTTATTGCTTAGAGCCAAGAATTGTGGTAATATATAAACAAAATAACTGATAAGTGAGCATATATCCTAAGGTGGGCATCTGATATGAGAATTTCTGAATTATTTGTATGCTCCTTTTAATTCTATGTTGAATTATGTATCTAAAAAGGGAGTTTCATGGTAGTTAAGGTATCCATAACTAAAATCTGCCATGATGACACAGCCTGATGGAAAACGTACAACAAGCAGCTATTGTATTTCCTCTTCATCGTGCTGTCTTTTGGACTCACGCCGTTTTAAAGAGTTACCATTGCCCTTGCCCCATGCTAATCAAGTCTTTGAACATGCGGGAATGTGGTGGCCTATTGTTCAACCCATAGTGTGAGCTCACAAGGGAGGCCTGTGCTGTTGGAAGTTGAGATTCGTGAAGATAGAGCGAGGGCAGGCCTACGCCATCTCCGGAGCACAATGGCTGTCACAATGACAGCGCATGTACTGTATGTGCTCTGTCAGGGACCTCAGTGTGCACTCTGTGGGCCTCAGTTAGTGTATCATAAAGGCCTATGTCTGCATTTATGAAAGGCTTAATTATTTTACTGTTCTTTTCACACCAACTGTACAGTCTGAATGTTTTATCGCTGCAGCTTCACTGCCGTGCGAATGAAATGAAACATCATGAGCAACACTGGAGGAGGTGTTTTTGTTTCTGTGTTCAAGTTACTAAAGACAGTTTATTTTCCTTCCCTTGCCGCACAGGTGACTCCCACTAAACCAACCAAAAAGGAAGCAGCCGCTCCTGCCGCAAAAGAGCAGGTGACCTTATCTAAGCTTTTACTGTCGCATTTCACAACTCAAAAACCTGTTAAATGAGTTTCATACTGCAACCGTGGGTTAATTTACAAATGTGTGATTGTGCTGTTTGATCTGCTTTCAATAATCATCTTGAAATAGTGTTTATTTTGCTTCGTATGGCATCACAAGTGAACTGACTATTTTAAGCGGATTGCTTGCATACATTTTTGCTGCTGGTTGAATGATGGATTTGCCTCGGCATTTAAAACTCATGAGTACAAGCTTTCTTCTGAAATTAGTTTTTGCTTTATTTGATTTTTTATTTCTCTAACTGCTTCTTATTTCTGTTGCCAAATAGTCCCAGAAGGAGAGCCAACCAGAACCAACCACTACTGTGAGCACATCATCTCTAATACCACTCCATTTTCTATCCGTGCCTTTTATTTCTGCTTAAACCTAACTATAGTTTTTGTTGTGCATTTGTAAAGCTCCTGTGAGTGTTTTTTTAGCTTGTGTCAAGTTTGGGGCCCCCTGTGGACAAAGCAGACTAAGAAAGTTAAATGTTTTTTTTTCCTAAGCAAGACATTGTTTTAACACAGTTCTGTCTGCATAGGTCGCACAAGTATCCGAACCGCCTGCAGCACCCAAAGGAATGTCTATCCCACCACCGCCCCCTCCAGAGCCACCAAAAGTGGAAATCATAGCAGAACCAAAATTGGAACCAAAAGCTGCAGCGAAAGAACCAGAGTCCTCGAAAGGAAAATCCTCTCCGATTTCTTTTGGCAAATTCTTCCGTCAAAAGGTAAAGAAACTGCAAATGAGAGGAGTTAGCTGATGCATTATTACTCCGTGGATGGGTTTGTGAAGTAGTGTGAAACATGCTGTATGTGAATTTGAGGTACGGCTAGGTGTCAAGGCATCAAAAGGCAAGGGGGGTTCAAGTGGAGCCAATGCCTCGGCCAAGCCTGCAGCAGGGGTACGGTAGATTATCGTGTTCTCAGACTGACTGCAACGCTCATCCCGCTACTAACTGAACAAAAGCTGTTCGTCTGAAGGTGGCAGAAACTGAAAATGTGTCGTTTCCAAATGAAACAGCACTTCTGTTTGCCTGAAAAGTCAGATAGAGGCGGTAACAATGCCGCATCCAAGCTGACCATGTTCCAGTCGCCTCCTGTCGTTGTTAGTTTGCACACAGTAGCTGCATATCCACACATAGTGCTTTCACAACACAATCAACCTCATAAACCAGCGCGGTTGATTTATCCACCCAAAAAACACACAGTTGCTCACAAACACAAATAAAAACAAGTTTTCTTACTGTTGATGTAGGGAGCAGCCATCTTGGATTTCCAAGTTAGAATCTTGACTCCTGAACCCTGATGACATGTCCGACCAGCATCTTGATTTCTGACCCCCAAGATTAGATGGATGAACCAGTTTGGACAAAACACTTCCCTAGAAAAGAAATGAAACACAAGGGTTAGCACCACGTTCCAAACATAGTTAGCCTAGCTTAGCATGGATAACATAAATAGGGTAAAATGGTTGGCCTTGTGAGTGCCTAAACCAGTACAGCTCACCCTAAACACAGATGTTAAGCCTGTTCACTGTCTCAACCAGTGTGGGTTGTGCTTCAGTTACTCAGTGTGGGTTCTAAGTAACTGAAGCTCGCCATCATCACACGGTCACAGCTGTTTCTGCAAACTTTCAGCCTTCATACCGAGCTAAGCTAACTAAACTAGCTAACAGCTTCTTTCATAGGCTCTGTACTCAGCTCACAGGTTTTAAAAAAGGCACTTAAATTGTCATTTTACTTTTATCAAGCAGCCGTTTCATTGCCATGCTAACATTTTCTCCTCCTCCTCAGGGATTTTCCTCTTTGTTCTTTTTGCTTTTACTAACATAAATAATCCCTTCACTACCCTGCAGGCATTCATCAAATCAGAGCCATCTGTAGAGGAACAGGTAAACAAGAGAATATACTCTAACATCTCAGCTGTTTTGTAACTGTATGAATCTTCACATGCCATTTCAGTTTGCATCTCTTTAAAGTTCAATAAAAGTAGTTTTTGCTCTGCAGGACACACCTGTGGTAGTTTAACAGCCAGCTGTAGAAGTCTATGTTAACTTTGGAGCATGCTCAGTTTTATATTAGTGTATTTAAAGCTCCAGTGGGGAACTTCTGATTTATTCTGGCGCCCCCCTGTGGACAAAGTGACAAGTCAGTCTCTGCTGATCTTGCCATGAAAAATATCTCATCTTTATTTTTAATGCCAAATGAGTAAATATGAGGTCCAGTCCTCTCGTTTGACACCTACTCCCTCACTGCAATTAAAAGGCATTCAAAATAACAGCATGAAAATTCCTCACAGTAGCTTTAAATGCAGCTTTAATGCAGATATGAAGGTTGCAGCACCTTTACATCTTCTTTCTCCTCTAATCAGAATAAAAAACATAGTTTTTGCTCTGCAGGAGACCCAAAAGGAGGAACCTTTGCCCCCTGTAGAAGTGGAGGTAAATCAGCAGAGCTCTGAATCTGGGTTTATTTTCCTTTTTAGGGAGCGGAATAATCCTCTCATCCTGTTTCATAAACCCAATATGTTCTAATGTCTGATCAATTTGCATCTGCTCAGATTGAAATTATTGAAACTCCTGAGGCGCCAGAGAAGCCGAGTGTAGAGGAGCAGGTAAATCAGCAGGAGGTGCTGGGGAATATTAATCCTCCATTTCTTCTCTCTCCAGGCACCTCTGACATGATGTTGAACAAGATGAACCAAATATTGTGTTGAACCAACATAATCTTTCATTCATTAGCGTTAGGAAACATGAAATTGGCAAAAATCTAACAATGTTTTGATTAATAAGCGGATTCATTTGTTCCATCATGACAGATGTGTCAGCTCATGATTTATTGCCTTTTTCAAGCTCTTGAATAGACGAGGAAACAAATAATTTTCTCCCCTGCAGACGGTTGGAGGCGTAGAGGTAGAGCTACCAGCGGTAGAGGTCGAGGTAAATTAAAGGACGACCACATTTTGGGAAAATGAAGTTATCTCTCCCACTTTTCTTGCTGATACTTGGATTACAAAATAGAAATGCTTGTATGAATATCTGCATATTATCTGGGAACTCATATTCTACAAAGCATAAAACTACAGCTTATGGTTTAACTTTCCACTTTGGCTCTGTGCGCTCGTTTACAGCTTACACCATCAAAAATATGTGTTTGTTTGGAGGCGCTGGACGGTGCGTTAGGTAAATCAGTAAAACAGCAGCTTTGATGATCTTTGGATGCCAGAATGAAACACAAAAGTTGTCTAAATAAACCAGAAACATGCCTCATAGAGAACAAAAACCCTACCTGAACCCTGAACCATTAAAACTGCAGAAAAAGGGACTACTCATCCTCACTCTGCATTTGCAGCGTTTTTCTATTTACAAGCTAATCAGTAAATCAAACATCTTTTAAAGTCTAAACCAAATCTGTGAACATATTTTATCCAATCAGACGTTGCACTTCTGCTTAAATTGACCAATCAGAGGCCAAACCGGCATTAGCGTCTAATCAGATCAAGCATTTACCCTTAAAAATGTTTAATAAATCACATTTAAGGAGCTTCAGCCGTGATATTTTCCTTTTTTAATGACTATCAAGACAAAAATCTTTTACCAATGAGGACCATCTCCTTAAAAGCTGGGTGCTGATCCTCATCCGCAACCGAAAGAGTTTGAATACAGTCACTTACAACAACAAAGAGTAAATCCAAAGAAACAACCTGAGTGAAAACATCTTTTTCCACCATAGGAGTGCTTTGAAAATTTTTGCATGTTGCTAAATGAGCACATTTCCCTGAATGTCCACATATTGCTTTGTTATTTTCAATGGAGCAACATTGGAGATAACGCCTATCCTTTTTTGCAGACAGTAACATTCTTTGCTTTTGTGCATGACGGCGCGGGTGCCTTCATGCTTAAGGGACTTTTTCCTATCAGGTTTGTCAACCTCTCTTCCCGCTCTGATGCTGGACTTCTTTACCTCTTCTCTCACTTCTCAGGTGGCAGCTCCTCCTCTCACTCTGTAAGCCTCAATGTTGGCCATGCCTTTAATTCCTTTAGAGATTATAACACGTGTTTTCTCCCCTTCTGTTTGGATAAAAAGAAGGTGGATCCCTCAAAAGTCGTCACCCTGGAGGCTGCTGCGAAGCCGGAGCCGCCGCCGGCTGCACAGGAAGAGAAGAAACCCGCCGCAAAAACCCCCTTCCTCTCCCTCTTCAAGCCTAAAGTAAGGATCATTTAGAGGTCTCACAGATATCTCAAATTCTGAGCATGAATTGTGACTGTAATACTAAACAGACAGTAACAGATCGATGTGAATTTGAGGTACTGTTAGACAACATGACAACAAAAGTCCAGGCAGCCTCCACAAGTGGAGTTCGGTTCCTCAGGAGAACAGCTGGAGTGGTAAATAAAGTCAAACTATGACTGCTTGATTAACCGGCGTACTTTCATTTAATACATATCTGGTTTTGAACCTGCTCTAAAACCACCGTTTTTGGCTGAAGTGTTGACACGATGCTTCTGTGATTATCCCTCATACTCATAATGTTGCTGTGACACTTTTTCCTAACTCTCTGATTGGTTCATCTTAATGTTGCTGCATGTTTGACATCCGGGTGAAAGAGACTTTGGGTGAAGACGCTGGAATGATTCTGTTATTCATTCGCGACGCTTTCAGGCTGCTGACCCCAAGAAGGAGACCCCTGCCCCCGCTGCGGCGCCAGCCGAGCCCGCTCCGTCAGCCAAAGCCAAAGAGGAACCGAAAGCGGCGGCCAAGTCTTCAGAGGCGGCCCCGGAAAACAAACCGGCTGCTGCAGCTCCGCCAGCTGAAGAAAGTGCGCCCAAGAAAGTGGAGAAGAAGAACTCCATGCAGTCATTCTTTAAGAGTCTGGTAAGAAAGCAGCATTAAGAGGAGAAACCTGTCCTATCAGGGTATGTCCACTAGATGGCAGCAGCACCTCAAAACTAAAGGTGTGGGCTGGAGTTCAGATCACACCGGTTTTAATCACCTACAGCTGAGGTATACGACTTCAATTAGAGGCAAGGGATGCAGCTTCACCAAATTATACAGCAGAGTGGGAAAAACTTATAAGTCTAGTTGGAGATTTTCTCCAAATATACAAATTTTAGGAACTAAAAGTGAAATTTTACAAAACTAAAAGGAAAAACATAAACTATTTCTTGCTCCTTTGTTTGCTTAAACATGCCTAAGAAAAGTCTTCAAACAAAAAAAATCTCATTATCCTGAATTTTGTTAATCAAATTGATAATTTATGAATAATTTTATATGAAAAAAGCAAAAACAGGGCTGTTTGTTCAGCTGCTTGGCTGAGATCTACCCCCCAACACCTGTTTCAGGTGTAAAAATTCTTTTAATCTTGTCTCCGGTGGGTTTTTTCTGATTTTGAACATCATAAAAAGGCATCAGTATGAATTTCATCACAATAACAGTTTCTCACAGGAGCTTAAGAGAAGAAGAGTACGCAAAATTAAGTGCAGATTTGAAGATGTTGGATATTTTCAATACTCTGCTGCATGTCCTTCCCAACTCTCTGCTCTGCTTTTACGCACACTGCAGCAAATCTTGCAGAAAGAGACACAACACCGCCACTGTTTTGTGCATCCCTATCTCTGCGTACTAACACTGATGTCCTTTTGAATTTCAGGGTCAGAAACGTAACTCGACAGACGCCGGGGTCCAGACAGAGGCAGCAGTAGCTGAGAAGGCCAAATGAAACCAAAACCAACCCTGAAGTTTCTCTGTACAGACTCTCTCTCTCTCTCTCTCTTTCTTACTCAATCTTTATCTCTCTTCATATCATCTCCCTCTCCGTCCCGATCTTTAACTACTTTTTCCCGTCTCTGTTACTGTTAAGAAGTCACAATGCAAAGAGTAAAGTGTCCAGGAGAATTCAAGCACGTGTGTGCGGAGGATGAACAATGAGCAGGTGGTTTAGCAAGTGGATATTCAGAGTGGTGGTGTCACTGAGGAGAAAATATATATATTTTTGGTTATATAGATGTCTTGACAAGTGTAGCGATGTAGCGATGTGTAAAACTTTTCTACAGACCTTTAATTTGACTTCTCTCTGATCTTGCTACCTGACATACTGGGCGTTTACGATCTACAAGACCACGCTTCGCTTTCAAGCGTCAAAAACATTTACAAAAGTTATCGATGAAGGTTTTATTTTTACACTTTAAACTAGAGAAATCATACAGGTGTAGCAACAAAGAGGATACTATAAAAGGATATAGAAAAAAAGGACCTTATTGTATATAACATTTAACTTACAGCTCCTTATAGAGCTGAGCAGAGGATCATATTTCTGTAACAAACTGCACTTACAGATTTTTTTTAACTCTATGCAAGCTATATGTAAGACTAAAGCACATACGTTAACGAGTCATGTTCGGGGAAATCACAATCTTGACTGCTCTGTGGGGACCTGATTGTAAGTGTTTACAATAACTAATGCATCTGAGGTGGCAGAATGGTGTCTCTGTGCAAATGTGTCCTTGTGGTGCGTTTTTGCAGTTCTCATAAATCACAGGCGATTAGCTTTTCATTTGAATGCAGCACTTTGTGTCGCGTGTCTAAACGTGCACGTCCTACGGTGTGAGTCGTTTGTGTGTCGTGGCGTATGTGCAATTAATACCCATGCTTTGTTTGCCTATAAGTATGTATGTGTGCTTAACTCTGGCTACCTTGGAGACAATAAACATGTTCAACATTCGTACGTCCCTCATTGTGGTGGATTACAGCGGATGGTGCAACAGCTGGGTGTTGCAACAACGTGACCCGACAGGTTCAGCGAAATGTAAATATGACAGTTGTGCACCAGTGACATCCCATTTATGCGAAAGCAGCTGTTAAGAAGCTTCAGCTTGTCCATATTAAAGACACAGTCAGTGATTTTACTCTCTACTTACAGCACAGTCTTCAATAAAAAACAAATCAACATGCACAAAGATCGGCGAATTAGAGGCACGGCTAACTTGACAGACAAAAGACTCTGCAGTCATTTGCAGGAAGGCTAAAAGCCCGCCTCCATAAGGGAGGTTGAGTCAGCATTATCAATACGGCGAATGACGCCGACAAACAAATGAGGACGTCACCAGCGCAAATTTTTTTTGTAGGATGTTAAGGGAAGGTCCCGCCCTCCTTTGCCTCTGATTGGCTAGAAGTGCTGGGTTTCGATTGGTTATTCCTTACGGCTGGAAAACGTCATCGTCTGTCAGGTTAGGGTTAAGAGATTCAGAAGTGTGATAATATTCTGTTCAATGTACAGAGCCGACAGCCCGCGCTCAGCTTGAGCGTGTGATGATGTTTACAGCTTTTCTAGCCAATCAGAGGCAAAGGAGGCGGGACCTTCCCCGACCATCCTATGGTAAAAAATATCGCGTCACCAGCAGCTATCCACATCCAGTTATTTCCAGTACAGTTGGCCACGGACACACAAGCAAGATCCAGAGTGTTTATGTTTACATGTTTGCTCAACAAACCAATTTACTGCTCTTTTGTGTACATGCTTTCATCAAACTGAAACTGAAGCTAAAGCGCTCTGCACATGCTCAAAAGCCTGAGGTTAAGCATAAGCATAAATGAGTTGCTAGGAAGCCGGGTGGTAAACAAAACTTCGACAGATGAAGAAAGGATGCAAAAAAGACAAAAATGTTGCATTGCATGCACAAAAGGTGACAATGCATTGTCCGATCATACTCCGACTACGCTGGTTACATGGTAGAGAAAATCAAATTCCAGTCGCATTACCTGGGTGTCTTCCGAACAGACTAAGGTGTTTACATGCACTTCAGTTGTCTGGTCTTAATCAGAGTAAGGCAATGATTCCGTTTTCTTGAGTGTCATGTGAACGCAGACTGTTTTCGATGTACATCCTATGAGCCACTTGCTAACCTGTTTGAGGAGAAAATTACCAAATAGTAAAACGCTGAAATTGGGTATGCCGCCACCTGCTGTACCAGAGCTTGTAGAGACAAGGACATCAGTCCAGTTAAACCACTAACTGAGCTTGTCTTAACTGTGTATGGAAATGTACCGACTATTTTCAGGACCCAAAAGTCACCAAAGAACTTAATCAAAATGCAAAATAGCTTCTTGCAGCCTGAAACCCAACCGTCATAGTTGTTTCCAGTATAAGTGCTGACTCTGACAAGGTGAATAGCCAATCATGGTTCAGGATTTCAGGGTGTTCCCACCTTTGCTCTGCCACTCGCAATATCAGGGCTTACTGTACTTAACCAAAATACACTGCATGGTGGAAATGGACCAAAAGAGAGATACTGCGCTGACAAGAATTTCCAAAACCAGCTAATAAAAACTTCACTTATGTATTTACACTGTTGAACGTCTAAATAAGACTCCTCACAGCAGGTTTTAACAGTAAACTATTGAGCTAGAGGCGTGTTATTGGTGTGAGTCACTCTTTGCTATGCTGGGTGTAGAGGTGAATTCTCGACACCTTACTCACCTGTGTTTCTATCTATCTCTCTGACAGACAGGTGACAGTTATCTGACTGTCATGGACGCCGCACGGGTCATTTCTAACTGTGACAGACAGAGCGATGACGCCGGACGTCACCGCTGACGACTCATTTACATGTTTTAGAGACACCCCGAGATAAACGAGGAAGAACAAGATCTAAAGAGTTTTATACGGCGGGTACAGGAAGCCTTCAAATCTTCTTTTACCGTTTATGATGTAATTTCTTTGATGGATGGCGCGGAGTGAAGTCTTTGGAAGGATGTGTTTTAGATAGTAACGTCTGAGACCCCCCATTCACCCACCATTAAGTGATGAGTCGCGGCCCCTGGAGGCATAACTCACACTGCTCCTTTGTTATCAATGAGGCACACACCCTCCATAATAGGTATGATCATTTTAAATTGTGCATTAAAGTAATTGCCGCGGCACTAAAGGAGAAAAAGTGAAGTATTGCTTGTAATGTATAAGACATGTGGTCCATTGTCTGCTCTTTTCCCCCTGAGGACGCCGCAAATTGAGATGCAGTGTCACATCTTTCTTTTATGGCTGTATTTCTGGTAGGTGTGAGGATCTCGTGTTCGTTTCCTTATTTATAAAATCATAAGAAATTCTCTGTAATATTCTCAACACCGGCTCACATATTAGTCATTATTATTTTGAATCCGAGTGATTTAGCAAGAACCGAAATGGAGCCCACAGAGATAACAGCTTCATGTCTCTACATGTTTGAATTGTGTCAGAATTATGCATGTCAAACTAAATGGTAGAGGTTAGTCTGTGCATTTACAAAAGCAGTCAGGATTCATCTTTTCCTTCAGCACAAACAACAGTGAACTCTAGAAGAAGAAACAAATTCAAGAAAAACTGTAAACTGCACAAGATGTGCTAGAGCGGGGTGTTGCTGCGGTTCATCCCAGGACAATGCCTGTGATTGTGTGAATGCACTGAGCTCAGAGGGGGTGGAACAAGGGCACAGTAGGCAGGCCGGCCTGACAGGAGGCCTGCTGTCAGCATTAATGTGCATCAGGGCCCTGCTCGCTGCAAACAGGTCTGCTCTGTGGGGGAAAACAACTGCAGGGACGAGAGAGAGAGAAGACCCGGCAATCCCAAGTTCTGATCTGATAACTAATCAATAAGAGTGATCTGGCCTCTGCAGGACAGTTTACAGCCGGGGTGAATCAGCAGGTCCTGCAGGCAGTGTGTGTGTCTGTTTGTGTGTGTGTGAGAGAGGCATTCTGATGCAGATGCTCTGCAGTGATATTTAGGGTCTGTTTTTGTGAGTCTTTCAGGGGGATGTTACATCCTGCTGCAGGGCCAAAAGGCCTCTGCAGTCTGACCACCTGATTCCCATGGTTCACTTGGAGTATTTTAGGACTATCTCAAATACAGCAAATACAGTTTTATAAGTAAGTAAGCTGTAAGCTGTAAAAAGTCACCGTTAAGGGAAAATCAGATCTGAATTCAATGTTTTTTAGACTTTGCTTTGTTCTGATTTAATGACAGGCAAACATACATAAAGACAAGGTTATTTAATAGTAAATTAAAGCTAAAATATGCAGAAATATTGTAGAATAACATAAATATCTAAGTGGAAGATGAATCATCCCAAAAAACAGTGAACAAATTTGACCACAGCTGCATTAAGCCTATTAAAACATCAAGTTATGGCCTCATTTAGTAGTTTAAAAAATAATTATATATTTTTAATTGACAAAGGCGGGGTCCTGCAGAGTTCTTCATTGGATTAGCAGAGTAGAGGAAGAACCTTCATCTTAAGGGTCACTGAACTTTCCAGAAGTTGCAGCTTCAAGTCAAAACACCGGTCTTATTTTTCTATGTACACTAACCTGAAGAGACTCTAACTATTCGGTAATGTATGTTTCAGCTTTAGATTTGATGTCAGTCCCCCTGTCTCTACCAGCCTGGTCACTTCTGAGCATGCCCAGCAAGCACATAATAAAGCTGTCTTTGTAATAAAAGCATATTGTCTGCCCTACATGGAAGTGAACAGAAACAGATTATTTCTCTGCATAATTAACTTGAAATGATTCAACAAAGACAACATCAAAAAGTTTAAAACTTTGATTTGTTTGCTCAAATCTGTTTCTGTAGTTTGGTATTGTATTTTCTAACTATGACTAAGTCTGCTTGTTCAAAGAATAAAAACTCGATTGGGGTCTACAGGATTAAGTTTAAAGACATAAAAGAGATTATCATACGGGCATGAGAACAAACAGGCTCCATCTTTCCTCTAAAATACTTCAAACTTGTGCAGACGCCAGAAACTGAAGACTATCTGCGGCTGATAAAACTTCTCTGATCATCCACAACACAACAGCTGGTTGCGCTGAATAAACATTACCGTCTCAGGGTGAGAAAGGCGATTATATATTATCAGCGTGTCTCAGGAGCGACTCTGGGATTATGAAAGAAGGCAGGCTGTGAATCTGCAGGAGAACAATGCAGTCAGCTGCTCCTGACACGTCAGGACAAAAAGAAGCCTCCGCAGTCTTTCCCCGTCCGCCCATCCTGTTCCTATCAGCCTGTCTGTCTCCTGAATACATTATCATTCATCCAGACTTTATTTTTCAAAGATTTTTTCTCAATTACGAGCCATTGATTGCACATGTGTATTCAGGTTTTTAGAGAAATAATCTGGGACAATGAGTTTGGGGGAGAAACCGCATTAGCATAATGCCAGACAATGGGACAAAGTTAATTAAATCAGCTGAGGGTAAACAGAGTTGCCCACTTGTTGCTGTCATTACTGCAGAGTTTAAGTCGTGATAAGATCAGTTTGTGTTTACATACATAAAAAAGATCACTTGAGCATCATAAATAGTCATTGTACTCAGTAAAGTACTACATTCGTGCAACATTTTACTCCAGTGCATTTATCTGGAAGGTTAAGACAGTTAACAGATTGAAAATGCAATTGATATTAAATGTTTTGGAGAACATGCTAACTTGCACAATTTAGGCTATTTTTCTATTTTGTGTTGTATGTAGTTACATACTTGTGTATTGTAAAACTGTACACATATTGCATATTTTGATTATTTCTTTATTTTTACTTGTTTCGTGGACTTATTTATCTCCTCTTTCTACTTTATTTGCACTGGAGTTACTGTGACAAATAGCAATTTCCCCCTGGCGATCATTAAGCTATTTCTGATTCTGATTCTATTATTAGACTGTGTTGAGTTTTTAGAAAGTTCCACCATCTCAGACATAAAATGCTCCTCGTGAGTGTAAATATCAGCACTAGTATTTAGATTATTTAATTCAGACAATATATATCCTATTTCTGCGACATAATGCCAACTTTAAGTGCGATATGACTTTTTGCTTAAATCTCAAGAGATCATCACTGCCATTTTTGCCTCTTAACATTCTGCGACTTCTTTGCACATTGAGTATTTTCTCTTCCATGACAGGCAACAACATCTCTGTGTAATCTCGTCATCCTGAGGCATCTCACTGCTCCTGCAGATTGATCGCCTTTCACAGAGCCTTTGTGGACGCAGAACAAAAGGAAATGAGCGGGAGGCCTCGATGTGTCACATGTGGTGCCTTTGATTAACATACTAGACCTGTTTGTGTAACAGGATCTCAGGGTGAGGGAAGAATACCAAAATCTGATTCATACTTCTGCAGGGAGCAGAAAAAACTGTTTTAATAGAGGCAGCACATGTATAAGGGATTAAGTCCAAATAAAGTGAGACATATACAGGATGTCAAACTGCACTGAATAGAATCAGAAAACACACTTTTTGTTCAATACATTACTTTATCTTACACTTAATAGGTGTGTGATCTCTGCTTTGGTACTTGTGTGTGCACAACAATCATTAAGTAAAGTATGCTTGCAAAACCTGTAGATCTGCTTTTCTAAATCAAATAAAAGAAAGGCTACTGTCATAGTCAGACCTGTTTGGTAACATCTATTAAAAATTACACAAAGCACATTTTATAAACTATATGGACTAAACAATCTTAAAGCCAATACAAGAGGAAACCCTTGCCTAATACAGGGGACGTGTTTTTTTGTAAAGGGAGTCTGTTGGTCTTTGTTCACTGTTTCTTAGCAGGGAGTGGTTACTGATAGTGTTGTTTCAGACATTGCTACCATTCAGAGAGGAGTGTGTTTATGCCTCCATACTCAGAGTCCTGCTGAATATCTTCATTGATATGGCTTCAAGGCACCACCAATAGATACTGTCTGTTTGGGGGTTAAAGAGTGGAGGAGGGGTTGTTCAAATTCACATTAGGGTGCTACTGTAGGAGTGATAGTCTTTGTCTTAGTACATTAATCTGTGTTAGGAGCTAATAAGTGAACATAAATAGTCCCTACTATTCATTTCTGTCAATTCAAGCACTATTATGATATAGTTTGTTTGTTTTTTTCATAGTGAAATCAGGCATAGAAAACCTCCCCCTCCCTCCAGTGCTCAAACATTTGCATGTGACAGCAGCATTAGTCAGCTCATTATGAAAAGAGTGAATAAGTTTAAGTGCAAAAACTCTTATTGTGTATACAACCAGGTGAGACCTAACAGTGTGGGATAGGAAGAAGAACATTTTCATGTTTTCCACTAACCTGCTTCTGCAAAGAAAACCTCCTCACATTACTGTGAAAAAGTTTGTGGCACCCCTCCCCCAACCTCCACATGGTTGCTGATGCATGCCGTTAGAGCGTGAAGGAAGAAGAAGAAGAAGAAGAAGAAGACAGTTAAACACACTGACTCAATCTGTGACAGTTTGCATGAATGAATGCAGTTTGACAAGTGTTATCAGGTAACAAGTCAGCAAAAACACAAACATTAATAATTATTTATAGCTACTGTTACTTTAAATAAACTCTTGATTGTCTCACCTGCTCCAGCTGCTGTTAATTATTTGAATATAAACAGCAGTTAAAAGGGCGTCACATACATACAGCCAAGCTAATATAATAACAGTTTATCAAGCTAGTCGATTTTAGCTCAATAATTTTGTCACTTGAATGTAAGATAGCATATATATGATGTTTGTTTAGCTGTTTCTAATAGTTTAAGACGATGAAATGCCTCGAAATGAAGAGAAATAAGCCTAATTGGTCAGGTATATTTGCTTATAGAAGAAAATAAAACGTAAACAGATATTATACAGGCTAAATTCATCTATCAATACAAACAGCAGCTAAAATGGCGTCACATACACATACAGGCAAGCTAATACAATAACAGTTTATCAAGCTAGTCGGTTTTGGTTGAAAAGTTTTGTCACTTGAACGTAAGATAGCATATAAATGATGTTTGTTTAACTTTTTCATATAGTTTTTGACGATAAAATGCCTCGAAATGAAGAAAATTAAGCCTGAGATAATCTTAATTGGTCACGTATATTCGAAAATTAAACGTAAAAATGTATTATAAAAGGCTAAATTGATTTATCAATATGAACAGCAGCTAAAATGGCGTCACATACATACAGCCAAGCTAATATAATAACCGTTTTTTTCGTTATTAAGCTATTCGGTTTTAGTTCAAACATTTTAGAATGTAAGGTAGCATATAAATGATGTTTGTTTAGCTGTTTCTAATAGTTTTAGACGATAAAATACCTCAAAATAAAGAAAAATAAGCCTTATTGGTCACCTATATTCGCATATAGAAATGTAAAAAGATATTATACAGGCTAAATTTATCTATCTATGGAAGATTTCTTTAATAAATCAGAATTAAGATGTTAGAAACCTAGCTAGAGTCTTCACTTGATATTGTATTTGGACAACGGTTGGTAATACTGTGCTAAAACGGTGAAAACTGTAACTTTAAAAAGTGAATTTGGAGTTATTTTTTGGTTATTTAATTATTATTAATATTTGTTTTCTTATAAAGTATCTCAAATAATCTTAGCAACCCATTTAAGTTCACTTAACCGTTTTTAAAGGGGTATCTTACTTTTAGATGAGTTATTTCAGTTGATGAATGTAACAATCCCTCGGTGTTATTTGTGATCACGTGACCCTCCTATGCGTTTTTTTGAAGGGAGGGGGTGACTGTCGTGAACGCGCCCCATCTTCGAGAGTCGTTGGTAAAGGGGGGTTGTGGGAGCGCGCCTCAGAACTCAACAGCTGCACAGTGAGGACTCGCCAAGTCGAACAAATATGATTCACAGTCGAACAATTGAATAGGTGAGCTGTCCTCCAGCAGAGCAACTCAACGCTGCCGTGTGTGTCTGTGTGTGTATGTGTGTGTGAAATGAAGAAGCAGCTCACTCAAACAACCTCGCTGAACACTGAATTCAGTCGCTGTCAGTGTCATTATTAATCCGGAAATATCTCACTTGGTAGGTATTGTTTGGTGAGTTTCTACAGTTGAGAGTCGAGACAACAGAAAGTGTAGTTTTCTCTAACGTTGGTTTTGGGGGGTGTTCACGTTTTAACCCACAAAGTTTGAGACTTTTTCAACGTATTCCGGGGAGCTAACTTTGAGAGTGGCGTTAAACTTTGATAACTCGTGTGATAAAAAGCCGATTTAAACCGATATGTTGTTGTTATATACGGATAAGTTTGGTATCGGAACGTGCTCCGCTTCGGTGTAACTGAAATCGGATCATTTGAAGTGACTCGGTGATTCATTTTGATTTGTATCCTCTGAGAAAGAAAGAGAAAAAAAGAAACCACCTCCTCGTGTTCTGCTTATTATGCATACACAGAGATGTAATAGCCTCTAAGTTCGACTTTTTTACGCATTGAGTCGTTTCATTTAACGTCGTGTACCTCTAACTGTTAACTTAAGTGCATCCTTAGCGAACGTTGATGGTTTTAATGAGGGCTGTTGTGGTTAGTTGAATAACAAGGTGGCTAATGGTAACGCTGCCTCACACAAAGCAGGCATGTGCTTTAAAGAAAAACACACACTGGCTCCTCATTACCGACAGATGTACTGGCTCACCTGGCCTGAGTTAGGACTACTTCCAGGCAAAGTAATTATATAAAACTAACGATAAATCACAATTAGGCCACCTTGTTTGACATATTAACTTATACTATTGAGGAACTAAAGCATTGAAGTTCCCCTTAATTGTTTAGGCTAGTTGTAGCATTTAATAAAAACCCTTTAACTGTTATTATACTTTATATTTTTTTGCCTTTAATGCAGTGCCACAATATTCACTTGCATATGAACATGATAACATCATAACATGAATTAATTTATGATGCATGACTATATCTAATGCCCTCAAGATAAAGCGCAGGATTAATATCAGTAGTGCCACAACAAGGAGTCATAAAGTAGTGACATGGTGAGTCAGATTGAGCTAATTTTAAATTAAGGTTGTGTCAGTCAAGTCAGGATGATAATCTGTCAAATCATAATTTCTAGATAATTAAATATTGAATAATGACTCAGAGCTCAGTGTCATACTCTAGACACTGTCATGTTAAAGGATGGAGCATGTTTGGTAGAAATAGAATATAATATTTATTTGTATGTTTAAACTGTAATATCATTTTCGCTGAATGATAACTTAAGGCAGCCATCTTGCACCGCCATGTTCTATGGTAGCACAGAGCAGACAAACTAGTCACATATGTTTTTTTTTTTATGCAGCAGTGGTTGGAAAAAGTAGAGCATTTAAAAAAAAAAGTATGTTTATAGATATTTTTGACAAATTATATGTCATAATTGAGCATTATCGAGGCTACTCGACCTTAAAGACCACCATCATTTAAGTAGAGGTGGGGTGAGCAAGGGGGTTTATGTCATTAGTAGAACCGCTCAGAGTAATATCCTTTGTCAATTAGTTAATGTTTGAGTGCACTTTCTATTTCTATTTCTGTTGCATTTCACTCTGCAACACTTAAAACACAAAAACAGGTATGTGACTAACTTGCTTGTGATGTGCCTCTGCAGAAACACAGCGGTGAAATATGGCAGGATGCATGAAAGATGGCTCACTCCTCATGTAAAAGTAGAAAAGACTCATTTTAAGTTCCAAAAATAGCTTTTATAGTCAGGTGATTAAACCCTGATTCAGATTATGTTTCATTTCTGCTAAAACTGTTCTGCATAATTTCACCTGAACCCACACAGAGTACGTCTCAGAGCCAAACCTGAAACTGTAAACATTACAATGATCCACGATCGAGCGGCTTAAACTTGTCACAGTATCCACTTTTATTTGGGCTATGGCTAATTTAACAAAGCTCAATATCTAATAGGGTGCCTCACCTTAAATGTCATCGTATAGTTAAAGAGAATAAGAGTGATAACCTGGAAAATGATTAACAACTTATAGCAACAGTTTCCTTTTTATCAACACTTACATGAACTCACCTGGAATACCCTTGAGTGCTCACAGGAAGAGTTAAAGTATCAAGATAATATTCGACTTTAAAGTAGCTGTAGTATTAAAGCGAATCAGTGTAATTCACAAAGGACAATGAGAGGAACAGGCAGCACCAAGCAGCTGCCATGAGGAACAGATCAAGATATATTTTTATAAAGTTGATTCATTGGAAACTGACGTATAACTCCCAGACGGAGTTTCCCTTTTAGTGCCTCATATAATCCAGAAATACAGAATACAATACAGGCACTTTAAGATAAACTCAAACAGACATAATAATCCCGTATCAGGCGTCTGTATGTCTTCCTGTCGTCACTGTCTTCACCTGCGTTAACGTTAGCCCTGAGCTTTTGAACTTGCTGGTCCAGTCGCTCCACTTCTGTGCCAATCATACTCACTTTCTCTCTTTTATATAAGCAGTCCATTATCACGAGCTGAAAGAGGTACTATGCGAAAAAACCACAAGGAGGTACTGCCCCGTGTTCACAAAACAAAAAGGAAAAGCAGCAGTTTACATGTGGGGCTGACTTCATGAATGTAGTATGTGTGAGTCAAGATGAGAGCTGAGAAATGAGGACCACTGAATCAGAGTTTTCAGACAAGATGAGACAAGATTAAAAGTTTTGGATCACTTTTCACAAAATAGTTGAATTACAGGAAGTAAATGCAGCATATTCCTCTTTATGTATGTTCACTTTAAGGGCGTTTTGACACTTTTACGTAACTGCATGTTCCTTTTTTTCATTTTCTGATAGCTTCAGCTCCTTTTTTAATCCTTAACTTCTAAAAAGTTCAGAAAAGTTTTAAAGTTTTTTATCCATATAACATGTAGGTGTGCACACTTAAAAGGACTAAAGATCACGCTTGAGCTGTTTTAAATGTTTTATCAGTGGTCAGAGGAAATGACTCGTCTGTTCAGTTGATTACTAAAAAGATACGTTTCCTGTTTCGGTGTGAGTGAAGAAAATTCTCTCTGTGTGGTTTTATTTTTTAACTGATTTGTTCCCAAACTAGGTGACTTCTACCTGATCCTGTTTTAATGTTTAAATCCCACTTTTTCTTTCACCCTCTGTCTCCAGATTCCCAACATTCAGGAGCGTCGTTTTCCCACCCTCAGAGGACAATGCCGACTCACTCTGTGCTGCCGTTTGTGGAGAGCCCTGACGGCCTTGCCCAAGATATTCTTATTAGTAACAATGCAAGCATCCCTGGGCCCGGCTCCAGCATGACGCCACACACCACCTTCTCTGAAAAAGCCATGTTGCAATCAGGAGGAAACGCAGCGGTATCCTGTATGTTCTGTGAGCAGACTTTCAACCAGCAGGACGAGCTGGGACCCCACCTTCTAACACAACACCCCACTACTTTCTCCGAACCAGCTGTGCTTCGAGTCGAGGCCGAGTTCAGGATCCCGGGAGAGAGACCCAGGCCCAAAACCAGCAGCCTCCCTGCTGAAAAAGAGGAGGTTCACAGCTGTATCGTGTGCGGTCAGGTTTCACAAGATGCCAGTGAGCTGGAGACCCACATGAGGAAGCACAAGGACTACTTTACGTACTGCTGCAACGTGTGTGGGCGGAGGTTTAGAGAGCCGTGGTTCCTTAAGAATCACATGAAGATGCACATAAGACCAGGAGTGAAAAGCAAGGCCCAGCTGGACCTGGAGAGCCCCTACGAGATCAACGGCGTCATCCAGGAACCTCCACCAGAACCTGTCGTCACCATTTACAAAATGTGCATGGTTTGTGGGTTTTTCTTCCCTGACCATGAGAGTTTAGTCGAACACAGTAAAGTTCACAACCGAGAGGTAGAGCCAGGTAAAGAGAATAATAAAGATGACACTACTGAAAGCTCGCAAAAACAGGAAACGTTTCTCAGCAGTCTAGGACTCAGGCCTGACCCCACAGGAAAGGGTTTGCAACACGTGAGATCGTCAAAATGGATCCCCCAGCTGGATCCCTTCAACACGTATCAGGCCTGGCAACTGGCAACAAAAGGCAAGATAGCAGTGGGTCCCAATACGATTAAAGATCTGGGTCAGGAAGCAAGCACAGACAACGAGGAATGCGGCTCTGATAAGGAGGAGCTGAACAATATTTGGACAGAAGGAGACAAAGCTACAAAAGAGGGGCTCGGGAGAGAGCTCCGGTCTCAGACCCATGCCCCTGCAGAAAACCCCCAACCCCAGAGGAGGTCCCTGATGCATAAAGATAAAGAGAGGCCGACGACTTGTGAGGAATGTCAGAGGACCTTCAGGACCTACCACCAGCTAGTCCTCCACTCCAGGGTCCACAAACGTGAGAGGGGAGGAGAAGAGAGTCCGACTTCCTCAGTGGAGGGGAAGCTCTCGAGGGTGAACTCTCTGGAGAACACAGAGGAGGGGTCTGAGGAGGGCTTCGAGGAGGCCGCACTGACAGAAAACCTGAGTCCAGGTAAATCTAACCCTCTTTGTGATCCACAGAGACTGTTTAGGATTGTTCGATGCAAAGAATTTAGCAACCAAGTGCTCCCTCTGCTGACGAGATCACATAACAAACATTTTAATTAAAAGGAAAACTTGAGGTTACTCTTGTAAACTATTCAGAGCCTTTAAATGTGTATTTTTCTTCTTCTTTTTTTTGAAGGTGAAGATGGTTTTGATCGATCCAAAGTCAGATCAAAAGCTTGCAGCTACTGCGGCAAATCATTCCGATCAAGCTATTACCTCACAGTTCACCTGAGGACCCATACAGGTAAACACAACTCAGCAGATTTCACCTTTTGGATCAGACAGTAAGAAAAAGTCCTGGGACCCAAAACTGTCAGATCTTGAACTTTAACTTTTGGCTCATTTTCTCTATTTGTATTTTTTGCATTTCAGGTGAAAAACCGTTCAAGTGTGCTTACTGCGACTACGCCGCTGCTCAGAAGACGTCACTCAAATATCACTTGGATCGGCGGCACAAAGACAAACCGTACATGGGAATTCCCAGCAGGCCCGTGCATCATTCATTACCCTCTTCAAATGACAGAAAACACAGGATCGACAATGAAACCCCAGCTCCAAACAGATCCAAACTCTGGGTTCCTGCAGCCAGACCGAGCCCCAGCGGAACACCAGAGGACCGATTTGACAGCAAGATGAGCAAACCGCTCATCCAGATGAACGCCAAGTATGAGAAATTAATCGCTAAGACTGCTTACTCTCCGATTGATGATGTGGTCGTAAAGTGTCCCGTACCTGTTAACCTGAAGATGGAGAGGGAGGAGATAAAAGACGAGAACTCAGAGGCCCCATTAAATCTGTCCTTAAAAGTCTCGCTCTCCATCTCTGCCGGTGCAGAACCAAGAAACGCATTAATTCCAATCGCCTGTTCGTTTTGTGCGTATAAAACCATGTACCCGGAGGTTCTGATCATGCACAAAAAGCTGACGCACAAAGACAAGTCCGACGGCGCCAAAAAGGCCGGGTTTGGGGGAAACGTGAAGCAGAAGCGGTACACAGGCTGCCCTCCTGCTCTCGAGGGAAAAGATGTCACCCCGCTTCCCATCATCGACCGCCGCCACCCTCGCCGAACAAAATCCCCGCCTCCCCAACCTGCAAAACCACAAGAGAAGACGCCCATCAACGGTCCCAAGCGGTCCCCTATCCATGCTCCCTCACATGACGTCGCCCAGGAAACCCAGCGTCCCAGACCTGATCCACATCCCAGCCAGGAGTCCTCCAGGTTTACAGAACTCGTGAGGAAACCAAACACAGGCGCCAAACAAGTCCCGGACCGCCCCCCACCGCCAGACAGAGTGGGAATCGGTGAGAGGAGTTACCCGGTGAGAAGCGGCGTCATTTGGCACTCAGACCCCGCAAGGCTCTGCCTCTCCAGCCGGTTTGGGAGCCTCCCACAGATGGATTTCGGAGAACCTTCCAACAAGAGGTTAAAGTACGTGGCGCCAGCTGAGACCGGAGAGAAGCCGGTCTTCAGAGGAGCAGCACCTGAAGGATCCAGCAGGCTGCTCATCTCAGGGAGGAGTGTGAAAACTGCTCCACAGGGACCCAGTCCACCTACGGTCTCGGACGCTATGGTGTCTTTGAAAACAACTCCTCCAGTTATGGGAGGGGGTCTGGACTCCGACTGGAGCATGATGAACCTCCTGCGCTCCTACACCCCCAACGACCTGGCTTCTCTCTATCACAGCACACCTGCTAACCCCAACCACGGAGGCCTGAGCAACCCCAGAGCAGGTACGTTTTAGGTCACACGGGAGATTTCAGGTCACTGTAAACCTGCATGTGTAGAGTTAACATTCCAGATTCTTCCTCAGGGGGCAGAACTGTGCTGTACCAACACTTACCCACTCTGCCCAACCTGCAGAGGAGAGACCCCGCAGGCCCCTTCCCTCACCAGCGCTATGGGACCACTGACAAAACTACCTAAAGTGGCAACAAGGTAAAACGGGGAACAATCCAAAGTATTAACACCCGGGGATTTCTCGTTTTCCCCCTGAACCTGAATCGTCACAAATCTCTGATATTTGGCAAAAAGTATTTCTTTCCGCTCTTTAGATTCGAACTGTGCTGCTACCTTATTTTTGAGAACTTCATGGAAATTAATTGATTATACACACTTATCGATTATTAAAGAGTTGGACTTTAATCAGTTTTCATTCAAGGAACATCGGGCTGCGTAAACATTTCAGGGCTGAGGCCTTTGGTTTGATATTTTTCCTTTTTTTGGATAAAAGGTGCAGATAAACACTCCTAAAGATGACTTTTTTCACCGGTGTGCACTGTGATTTATTTTTCTCTTCTTTTCAACTGTCGCTGAATCCATAATCGACCCCTTGTCCGACATGACGTTTGGGTTTACAGAAATATACCTGTGAGTTTTCAGTCCGTAAAGGTGTATTGAATAAAAGTATAAAATCTAATTTGTGTAAAAGGAGGCCTTTAAAGCTCGTCTTATTTTATTTCTCTTCTCCAAGGCACTGAAGGGTGTGTGTGTGTGCGGGATTATTTTCTGTCGATTAACTTGAAACGAGTCCTGTCTACGTTGAAGGGGTCTACCTCATGTTGTGCTCTCGACACTGTTATTTTTTGTAAAGCTGCTGTAGCTGCGCTCGCCGAGACACATGGTTTGAGTTGGAGCGCAACTAGACGGACATGTGTTTGTCAGGCACCACATAAAACACACATCTGGTGACAGAACGACTACTGCTGGGGCTGAATCAACATGCGGCTCGTGATTTACTGTTACACAATTTCTCTGATACGCTCGGTATTTACGAGCCCGGTTTCAAACACAGAACACGTTTTCGAGGTTATTACTCGACTAATGTTTATGGGTGGTGCCTCAGATCCATAAGCTGCACAGTGTTCAGTTTGTGTATTAAATTCTCATGGCTGTGTTATCCAGGAGTTCGGGAAAGTTATTTAGTTTCATCAAAAACGCGACAGCAAAAGCAGCTTTGTTTAAACGTGGCTTGATTGATCCTACACTGTGAACAGAGTCTCAGGTGAACTCGCATTTACAAGCTGTTCAGTCTTTTTTTTTTGTAATGGAGTATATTTGTATTTTCCACTTTGAAAGCCTTGGGTTAAATTATTTTTGTTGTTGTTTGGTATTCACATTACATGTGTACTTATGTAAAAATAAAAATATTGTTTGAGAATTGTACGACACATTTCAATAATAAAGTTAGAGGCGAACAACTCTGTGCTGTCTTTACTTTATTTGCTTTATAACCTGTTTTTGTCTCGTCAAACAGTCGTCACAGACAGTCTGTTAACGCAGGTCTGTCGGGGCATTTAGTCTCAACTTAAGGGTAACACCTTCAGCGAATTAAAACCGGTGATTTAACTGTTTTCATAACATCTGGAGGGATGCAGGGACAACACTTTTGCTGATGCTCACGCCTCTGCTCCTCATTTGAAAAACAATATTATGTGCATATATTATAAAGTGCTGAGACCAAGAGAGAGACCAAGGTTCAAAGTGAGACCCAGAAGCCCGCTTTCTTTCTTTAACACGGTCCGAGGGGACGCCGCGCAATGACCAATTTAATTGCAGATAGCAGACGAGTGTGGATTTGGATCCCTGAAGCATAGATTAGGATTTGGAAAATTCTGCAGTTTGCAGCTTCTAAAAGTAAAAAATCTATAAACATTTCAGATTCAGATTGCAGGTGGATTTTAAAGGAAATGGGCGCATCATTCTGTTCTGTTAAAGCTGATACTACAACAATATCATACTGTATACCCTTGTGTTGATCCTGAGTATAAGACAAACACTCTTTAAAAGTCCCCAACAAACTCAAAAACCAATCACAGTCCTTGATTTTTGGGGTGGCCAATGAGATTTGTGGGCCCGTGCCACCCCTTGCAACCTCTCTAGACACGGCCCTGGATTAATCACCAATCTTTATGTGAATACTGACACTGTATGTGGATGACGACGACCAAGCAAGTGATATACTGTTCTAGTAGTAAGGATCACTAATTATAAGCATTTTATGATTTATGAATTCCACAGCTTTTGGCTCATTTCAAGAATTTTAAGAAAATGGTTCTACATGATGAGAAAAATACTTGAAATGCCTGGTAAATAGGATTATGTCAAGATAGTGACACTTGAATTTACTTAAGAAAAGAAGTCTCATATTTTTCATTTGTATAAAGAAAAATGCACCTATTATTAGTGAGAATACACAAATTTTAAGGTATATCTGGATTCATTGAGGTTGGATGTTTCTACTTGTTTTGGAAAGTCTTGACAAGCCAAATTTTCTTATTTTCTTGCAAATAATTTTGCTTAGTTAAAGTACTATTCTCCTAATTTTTGTGTTTTGTTTTTTTCTTGTCATTGCCAGCCAATGGGCACAGGTGAGACAGGTACCTGGTTCAGATCTGCTTGGTCACAAATCTTACCAGAACTCTCTAGAAAGAAAGAGACAGAAAAATTAAATATTCTGTTTTTCAATTTAAAGATATAATAATGTTTAAAATGTGCATTTGACTTGAGTAATTTCATGTCAATGACTCAGTTTGGCCACAAGAGGGCAGTATGTACAAAGTCTAGATTGCAGCCTCCTCAGATCTAGTGTTCAAAGCTCTGTATCCTCAGTAAGGCCATGTAGTACAGTTAGTTATAATAAAGCTGTACACAGATGCAGTACATGGTGAGAAAATGAAGGTGTGTTACAGAATAAATACACAAAGATACAAACAATTTTGTGTACCGTGTGAAGTTCACCTCATCACACTGGCCTAAAAAAGGCTTATTCAGCTCTATTTCTAATATTTATGGTGGAGTGTTAAGTGCACTTATGACCACACCCTGACTGTGAACGCAGTACAGGTGATACCCGTCTCCAGCTGTCAAACACACCTGGTGCGACATCAGTGAAAGCAGTGATGAGGGTTCGAACAGCATTACAGCCGCATTTCTCCCTCTCTTTGTTTTCTTTTCCCGAGGACTGAGTCCTTAAAAAGCTTCCTGAGAGAAGTTCACTAACTGCGTCTACATCTGTGAGACATGAGCGCGCTATTGTCTCTAAACAGAGATGGCTGACAAAACCCATCATGGCAGAGCGCTCTGCAAACAACAAATTGCGAGGGACAATCTTCAGTGCATTGAACACTTTAAACTTTGTTGTTTTTTTTCCAGCCCCTCCTCCCTTTTTGAGTAGACCACATCTGTTTGCTGTCTGTTCCCCTGGGCCAGCACTGTGTAATCTATTGCATTAGCTCACATTAGTGCATATCGCCCATGGGCCCTGGTAATCACAAACGCAAAATGAGCATTTCACTTAGCATCACCCTCATATTCCCCCACACTGTGGCAAACTTAGTGCAAACGCGTGGCAGAGAAGGCAAGTCGACAACAGATTATGACATGCATCCCGTTACTCTCAATCCCCGTGTCCAGAGTGCTGCGAGGCTTTCATGTCAGGAGTCCATTTGATAGGCAAAGATGCTCTCTGAATCCTCCCTCTGTTTACTCCCTGTTTACATGTTATTTTCCTGAATTTTTGAGCCTTAAGAAATGTGGAAATTTGTGCAGAAATGTGTCCTAACCTTTACCTACTGCACTCTTTGCTTATGCATGTTGCTGCAGGCCTCACATCCATTAAGATGCATCATTACAGAGATAAAAAAGCTAAAATACTCGATAAACTTAAAGTCTTAAAGGAGTTTATTAGACATGGAAGAGTTTAAGAGCAAAGGAATGACAAAAAATAATGTGTTTACGTTTGAATCCAAATAAAACTGACTGCTATGCTTCATCACATTATCGAATCACTGCAAAAGCTCTCACCTTTATAAGTGTTTTTGTCTTATTTCTAATAAAATGTTATTTTTTTAGGCCTCTGACAACTTCAGACAAATATCCTTTTTCGAGATATTAAACAAAATATTAAGTATAATGAGTCAAAATGAAATCATGTTCTTGAAATGAGACAATTAAAGCTCCTATAGGGAGTTTTTCACATTTACAAAATACGCTGAAATAAACATTAATTTAATTTTATCATACAGAAATAAAAGCAGGAAGGACCAGATTTATTTTTTTAACCTGTAGAGGAAAAAATAAGCAAAAATGGCTTTGTCCACAGGGGGCACCAAAACTGACACAAACAGGAAGTTCCTCACAGGAGTTTTAAAGTCTTCTAAAGAAATACGATCCTAACTGAACCCGCAGACAGAAAAATAAGTCAGTGTTTAGATTTGACACCATAATGCAGAAGGACAAAAGACATATTTCTGTTCTCTAAATGAGTTTTTAAATCAATTTTAAAGATGAATTTGAACTTTACAACTTTATCAAATCTTACAGTTTTATTCCCTTTAAATCACATGACTTAAACTGTTTTAACTAAGAGTTTACGACAATGACAATTAACGCTTTTTCGCTTTTAATATTGGCCGCTTTTGCTTTATTTCGCTGCAAAAAAAGTTAAAATGTCTTATTTGACTTAAAACAAGCCAAATTCACCACTTCATTTCAAGATATTTCAGGCCAAAATATTTGACTTTTAATGTGTAAAAAACATTTCTTAAACTGTTTTTTTTTTTCTAATTCAAAGTATTTTCAGCTTGTAATGTCTTTTATCTGGACTTATAATATCTTATAATAAGTCTAATCAGACCCATTTGACCAGAAATAAGACAACAACAGTTGCATAATTCTGACTTTTTCTCAAAGTGCTTCAGCAGGAAACACCTGAGCTCCTCACCGAGTCCTTTCTTTAATCATGTTCGGTTTTATGCGAGGGATTTTAGAGTCGTTTCAGTGCACAAATGACATTTTATGCATGCATTGTCATCCGCTCATCTGTTCAGAGTGTTTGGTTTTAGAAGAGGGGTCTGTTTAGTAGATTCATCTCTGACTGAGGATGTTTCCTCTCCTTGAGTTCGACTCTAAAACCTCCTTCTCCTCCTCGTAAAGTAAACTTCATGTTTTCTGCTCCCCCCTTAAGTGCTCTCTCCTCTCTCTTATTTTCAGGCCTTTCATCACTCATAATTGTTGCCTCCAGATTGTCAACTTGCATGAATTAGCAATTGGGCCAACAAAGCGGATACGGTCAATTGTTGAATATCCTGTCAGAATCTGAGGCAGAAAGTCTGCTCTGGCTGTGATTGCTCATCATCGTCACCCCATTCCTCTGAGGAAGAGGAGCAATGTAATGGTTCCCACAAAAACAGCCCCTGGCCCGAGGAAAGGGATTTGGGTGTCTGGAGACAACAGAGGCCATATGGAGCGGGCTGAGATAGCAAGGCACATGTACAGAATAATGGATGATGTGTCATGTTTCATGTTGCCGAGGAGCCATCAAGAGACTTGGTTTGGGGAAATCAAAAGGCTCACGTACAACAAAAGCGACTGTTGGACCATTTAGCAGTTTTTGTTGATTCCTGTGTTGTGAAAGTGCCGAACATATAGCCTTAAAGGATGTGCTGCTCTATTTTCAGGGCCTGTGGTCTGCCGATGTTGTTTGTGAGTAAACACGATGATGATTCTGGTTGGAGTCAGATGTAAAAACTAAAATACCACAGTCGGGAAAATAAATAAAAGCCTATCTGACGCCTGAGAAAGCAGCTTAATATGACTCATATGTACCTCAAGTATAAACTGGGTTTCTAATTAAAACAGGAGCAAACAATAAATGAGCAACAATCAGCAACATATGTACGGTGGCCCTGACAGTCAATTTCACAAACAGTTGTTTTGTTATTTCAACATGAACATTTATCTCTTTCTGTCAATTTGGAGACATTTGAGAGTATGGATGAAAATATTCAAAGTTAAAGCTCCTCTGAGGAGTTTTTCATGTTGATAAAATGGACTGAAACTCAAACATGGCAGCCAAAAACAAACAAGACCGTCAGTGACATGATTCAAGATTTTTATATTGTAATTTTAAAGGCCTTAAACTGGTATAAAGGGGTAGGTATCGACCGAGCAGCTTAAGAAAACAACAATTTCTACTTAAAATATTCACAATTAATGACACAAACTGAAAGATTTTAGTCGCACGCTACGGTGACTTCAGATTTGACTTGGACTCAACCCCGTAAGACGAACTGTCTCCACACACCAAGCACGAGTAAAATCATTCACGCGACTGAATTACATGTTAAGTCAATGCAAAGATGCTCGTACTACTCTGGCAGCACAAATGACGCGAATTGGGCGGGAGCTGAAAGGTCTCGACTTGAGCTGACATTCGTATCGCGGTAACCAATCAGCACAAAGGTTGCCGGGTGATCTATGAAAACAGATGGTCCCTTACTGGTACCGGAACTGATCATGTCGGTGTGTGGGTTCCCCGAATTATATACCTTTTCTTTCAATCACCGAAATCAGACCAAAAAGGAGCTGAGGAGGTCAGATTACCTGGTAAGTTGTAAAAAACCTTTGTCTATCACTTGATCCTGCCGGTTGAATTGGCAACCGGCAGGATCTAATCTTCCAGTAGCTAGCGGTCATTTGACGAATAATCCATTAGCTACCCGCTAACAGATTTTTGTCTACTGTTTTGGTACGTGACGCAAGAGGTGCTTCTTTCCTTGTGTTTGTAACAGTAGTCCAATTAAATCATAAATCTGAGCAATAACTGTGTGAACATACTAATTATCTGGTTGCTCTGAAAACCTGTTTACATAGATTTGCAAGCTACCCAGTCAATGGACACATCCCTATACCAACATGAACCTCAGTCCGTCTTAAATAGGTTTGTCATTTCTCAACCCTAATTATGTAAAGGCACTTTTTATAATAAGTCCTTATCTTGTTTTATATTCAAAAAGTCAATTATCGTACAGAAACATGACGGAAATACAACGTTAATCTAAAAATACAGCCCATCTCAGGCATATATGTGTGGATGTGGCTGTTACAGTGCAGCTGTGAAGATAAAAAAAACCCTCCTCTTTCCAGATCTCTCAAGCCAGAGGGGCATACTGTATACTTAGCCCCCCCACCTCCCTCACCCTCTCCTCCTATCTGCTCTACCTGCATGTGGAATAAGCCGAGCAGCTCACCTCTGTTTTTCTCCAGTGTCAGAACTACACTTAAGTGCTGTTTCCGATACCCATGAGTAAGCCCCATAAAAGCTGCCCCATCGCTGCAGCGTTATTGTTTCTTGCGGATGATTGATTGATGGATGAGGGCTGACACTTCAATGAAGCCATTTTCACTGGCATCTCTATCCGATGATGTGCAGCGTATATTTTCCATCCACGCCTCATTGCTCGCCTGTGTCATTCCTGGAACTTCATTTACACCATGTTCCCTGAAGGACCTTTTTTAGCCCCATCTCCCTTTTTTCTCTCCCCGGCTCCTCTTTTTATCTCCCCTTTTTTCCATGCCATAAAATAATGCTATTTCTTGTCAACTCTGGAGGGGCCTGGAATCATTTGCAGCGAATGATAAAACCAAAGGCATGGCGGGGTTATTTACAGGAAGTGTAACACTGACAGGGTCCCACTGTTCTGCTTTTTTCACTGTCAGATGCCAAGTCCATGCTGAGACGGGGCAGAGCTGTGATGTACATTTCAAACACACGCGGCCTTATGCATGCACACAATCATTTACCGCAACATCAGGGAGCCAGATAGGACCTTCCTCTACCGCCATGTTGTCCAAATCCTCCACAAAAACCACGTTCAAGTGTATTAGTTGGGTGACAGTGTGATTGAGGTGCCTTCTCTGAGACAATCGGCTGTTTTTGCTCATATGGGGAGCAGATGGTAAGCAGGCATCAGTGCGGCAGGCTTTCTGGGATGACAGCCATGAGATTCCCCCTCAGGTGCCATTGGAGCCCCTTTAGAAGGAGAGAGTGATTGGTAGGACACGCCACCTCCTAAGCAACAGTTTTTTTTTTCCGGACTTTTCCATCTTACAGTTTTCAACAACAAGATACAGAGCAGTAAATATGCGTACAGTGTCACCATATGTAACAGCATTTTAGACTGTATGTAAGTGATGTTTTCCAAGGCTGCTAACACCCTTTTAAAGACATTTATTTAGCATTTTTAAACAGTTGATGAAAAGCCTGTATTAATGTTTTTAACAGAAAGCTGTTTCTGGTTAAAATATGTCTCATTAGACTCAATATAAGCCAAACACATCCACTGTAAGTCTTATTTCAACATATAACAAGGGAAAAATAA